GCTGATGTTTCCCAGAATTGAGTGGCTTGTTTAAGATGGTGTTAAATATCCCTGGACCCCCTAGTGAGAGAGTGAGACCTTTTTCAAATTTCTTTCTGTCCTCTGATGAGGGAGGGGGTGAGAATCTCAGCTTGATGCTAGTATGTCTTCAACACCTCTCTAATACTCTTTAATCTCCCTTTTTAAACAAAGGCAAACTAGATCTCCAACTCATCAGAGTCTTTATTTTTAAATAAATTTATTTATTTATTTTTGGCTGCATTGGGTCTTCGTTGCTGTGCGCGGGCTTTCTCTAGTTGTGGCGAGGGGGGGGGGCTACTCTTCGTTGCGGTGCGCGGGCTTCTCATTGCTGTGGCTTCTCTTGTTGCGGAGCACAGGCTCTAGGCGCACGGGCTTCAGTAGTTGTGGCATGCGGGCTCAGTAGTTGTGGCACACGGGCTTAGTTGCTCCGCAGCACGTGGGATCTTCCCGAACCAGGGCTCGAACCAGTGTCCCCTGCATTAGCAGGCGGATTCTTAACCACTGAGCCACCAGGGAAGCCCATCAGAGTCTTAAGCAGGGAATAGTATCTCACTAAAATTCAATTATTGTCTTTTGTTTTCCTTGTATTTAGTTTTTACATTTCACTGCATTTTGTTTTATGGTAAGTTGATTGCTTTGTTTAAGAAACACTTATATAACATCTGCTATATGCCAGGCACTGTTTCAGATGCTTTACAATCATTGACTGGGGAATGATACACAGCTATAGGGAAAAAATACACAACTATGTGCATTATTGCTTAGGTTGAAGTTGGAGTTAAATTTTTAATAGGGTCTGTTTATAGAAAATATATTAAATAAATAATAGTACACATGATCTACAAATATGGCCAACTTTTGGAAAATGAGACATTTGGGGACCTCTTGGGTAGATCACTCAGGGAGTCCGTCCATTCTGATGCTTTAAAAGCCTGTATCCATCACTGTTTCTTGAGTGTTTGTGTGCCAGGGGCTATGCCAGGGGCCCAGTGATTCTATAAGTGGAGGCTTTGAATCCTCACAAGAATCCTGGAAGCAGGCTTTACCATCTTTACTTCTAAGGCTCAGGGAGGGGAAGTGACCAGCCGAGAGCCACACAGCTGAACCTCTCCATGCCCTGCACCACTGCCTGCCTGGTGACCTGTTTGGGAGCTCAGAGGAAGCTCCCAGCGGGGCCAGAGTAGGCTCTGGGGGAAGCCGGGTTCAGGGATGGTGTCCAGAAGAAGCCATGTGTGTGACCTGGTCCCTGCACGGGTCAGCCCTCTGGGCTCCTGTTCCAGCTACACACCTGTCCATGGGATCTATCTAGGTAGGGTTCTTGGGACCCACTGGCTTCTGGCTGGTACCTCCCCAAGTAGACACAGAGCTGGGGGTGCAATGGACAAAGTACCAGCAAGAGCCTGGCATTGCCAGCCTGGTGGGTTGTTCTTCTGCCCAAGGTACCAAAGTCCGCGCTTCCTGGACAGGCTGGCTCTGGTCTCCAAAGAGGTCTCTTCTCCATCTCATGCAGATCAGGGTGTCCAGGACACCTTCGTGTGGTCAAGCTGGGTTCCCCCGTGCTTGCTGGTGGGCTAACCCGGGGGAGCTCTGTATTTGGGTAGGAACCCTCGCTATTGGGCTAAACTTATCTTAGGTATGCAGGAACTGTCTCCTTTGTGGGCTAATCTTGGATTTGCTACTCATTAAGAAGCCAATTAATTGGGCTAACATCAACATGGGGGTTTTGTAAGAAAGAGGACTCAAGATCTCTGCCCGTCAAATACCACTTTCCAAGCCACTTTCCCCTCCCTGCCTCCCTCTTTCTTATCTAGATGGATAAACATGCACACATCGTGCTACATCAACAGGCTTAGCAGGGGTGGACCAACAGCGAGCTCTTCCCCCTTTACATCCCCCTCATTTGTGATGGTGCTGGGGGCCCAGGCAGAAGCGGGGAGAAGCGGGGAGGGATCCAGGGGGCAAAGAAGCCACTTCTAAGGGACAGGAATCCTTGGGGGCAGCCACGGGCTCCTCAAACTCTTGTTTCTCAGAAGCAAATCCAAGAAACTGAGGCAAGTCTTCCAAAGGAGGGATGGGAACCAGAGGGAGGATGTTCAGGGCCCCTTGGTGCCCAGGCCCCAGGCCCACCCTCTCCCTGTGTGTCTCTTCCAGGCTCCGGCAGGCAGTATGCTCTGCGGCTGGGCTGCCCCTCTGCTCCTGCTGATGCTCCAGGGGGGTAAGTAGTTGCCCCGTGGTATGAGGGTGGAGAGCGGCCGGGCTGGCCTTGTGGGCTCCAGGGCAGGGTAGAGGCCACAGGGTCAGAGTCTGTGGCGTCTGTCCACTTGCGGCCGACGCAAGTCCAGTAGCCATCTCTGCATTAGCTAGAGCCCATCCCACCAGAGAGCTCCACTGTCCAGAAGTGAGTCCTGGTCTCCACGTCTCGCTGGCCAGGGAAGCGGGGCGGGAGGATGAGGGACTTCATCCTTCTTCTCTCTGCCTTGGCTGGCTCCCAGTTCTCAGCGTGAGGAAGTCCTGCCTGTGATCTAAGCACAGTTTCTCCTCATCTCCTAGGAGATGTTTCTCAACAATCACTGGATCCACTGCCAGCACACATATTCCCTGGGTGGGGAGAGTGTCTGTGGAGACAAAAGTAGCCAAAGCCTTAGAAGGAAGCCCCCGAGGAGCAGAAGATGTTGCAGTCAGAGGGAGAGATGTTCGAGACCCGAGCAGGGAAAGGCCAGGTGTTAGACTTGAGGGGCGCAGTCAGGGCTGAGAGATCCAGGAAGCCTTCCCAGAGGAGGTGGGACACAGCACACAGGCTCGAATGGGAGCTGGCCTGGGGACAGGTGTGCCCTCAGCCGTCGCTGTGCTGACTCATAAGCATTTCACTCCGGTTTTTACCGAAAGACCCAAAGCCTCAAATAGTTCCATCAGGAAACAGATGTCAGTCTCCTTTATTTTCCCTTTCTGAGTGGTCAGAATCCTTTCCTAGCCTCTAAAGGGCCTTTGGGTCACCCGCTGCCTCTCCCCACCCCGTGAGCACAAATAACAAGCCCCTGCTGTGTCCCGGGGGCTGAGCATCCTCATTCCCTTCTGCCGACAGCCTGTGAGGCTCAGAGAGGGTGAGAGGCAGGTCCACGGCCACACAGCCGGGCAGTGGCAGAGCTGCGACGGGTTCCCAAATCTGCCTGATTCCCGTGGTCTTAACTGCTTTTATTGGGTGAGTGCCACATGCAGGCCTCCTGGGCTGCACTGGCGTGATATCATCTAAATACCTCCCCACCCCGTCTGAGGGGCCAGTGTCTCCAGCTTACAAATAGCGACTCAGAGCACTTGTGAGTCACGTGTGCACTTCTCACGGCTCCCACTGCCTCCTGCATGCTGTGATAGCCCTGGGCGGGGTGGGGGGTGGCCCGGGGGCTCTCTGCGCAGGGCTCAGGGTAGTGACCGGTGACAGGGTTTTTACTCCCTCTGGTCCCTGATGCCACCTCCACACTAGTTCAGGGACTACTGTCCCCTCTCCAATGTTTCATTACAAGTTCGGGACAAACCCTGTCCCTTGGTGGCCTTGAGTCTACCTAGGAAAGGCAGCTCCTCTCCCAAGTTCTGGAGCCCTGAAAGAGAACGACTAGGATACGATGAACTCAGAGAGGACACAGCCACATGGGTTTTGGTCCTACCAAAATCAGTCCTCTTTTCTCCACAAAGTATCTGAACGGGCCACTCTGTGTCCACCGACAGGCCCCGTGCTCCTCCCCGAGGGAAACTTCCTCCTACAACAGGATTCATTTCCACATCTCAGATCCCTTGGTAGTGGCTGTCTGGAGCCACTCAACTGTGTTGAGAAGGATTCTGAGGCCACACCCAAGGGAGTGAGTGCCATGATCGATTAGCGGTGTCTGCCATGTGTGTGGATGTGAAGAACTAGCAGAGATTAGATTTTGCCTTTCCTGGGTCTCCTGAGCCCAGACCAAGAGCGAGGCAAGAGGTGTAGCCCAGTCTCAGAGCTTCAGTTTTCTCATTTGTTAAATGTGATGGGAGTAGACATAAAGGATGTTTCCAGTGACAGTGTTCTTGACTACAAATCCAGCTTCTGACCTAGATGGAGACCCAGGAGGAATGTACTGCTAACCCCTGGGTCTTCATTAGTCAAGGAAAAATAGGAAAAAGCCACTAAGAATGAATCCATTTAAAAGGGGAACAAATTTCTGGTAAATAGTGGGCGGTGGAGGCAGGGGGAATAGCAGCGTTGGCACTTGATCTTACAAAACTAAACTAAACTAAAACTTATTAACTGGATTTTGTCAAACATTTTTAGAACAAAGTAAAGCAATTAACGTTGGAGTTGGGAGAGTATTAAATCTTGCAATAAAATTGCCTGAGGGGGACCATACCTGTGTCACGTGGTTGGTGGTGGTGGTGATGGTTTGGGCAGTAGGATAATACAGACATCTTGGCAAAAGTATCCAAGGGCTTCTCAGTTTTCTGAAGGTTTCTTGCTCCCTCGAAGCACTGCCAGGTCACCGAGGTCCATGTCCTGTCTTGGACCAGCTGCGGGGAGCAGAGGGAGCACGTGGTCTCTCACTGACCACACGAATCCCTCTCTCAGGATGTGCAGATTCCCCCAGCAACCGGGGAGTTCAGGACACACCACCTTGAGAGGGAGGCCGGCCAGGAGGGATGCTGACCTGGTGTCTGGACACAGGGCTTGTGGGGAGGGCGCTGGGTGGGGACCCGCTTAGTTTATGATGTTTCTCGTTAGGAGAGTCTTGTCTCCATAGCCAACCTCGCAACTTTGGGGGCTCAAAAATAGAATTCTTAGGTGGCAAGGACCCCCTTGCTCCAGGCCTTAATCTTAGTGGCCCTAGGGTCATCATATTCATCCTGGCTCTGGGACCCCTGCTTCCCATCATCCTCAAGAGGGTGAGGGGGCGATCAGCTCTGCTGACCCCGACCAGCCCCCACCCCAACCAAGGTCTCTGTGTCCCTTGACCCACCAGCCTGGGGCTGCTCAGACCTCGTCTGCTACACCGATTACATCCAGACGGTCACCTGCATCCTGAAGACATGGGCCCCGCACCCTGGCACGCTCACCCTCACCTGGTAAGTGGCCAGACCTCGCCAGCCTCGGGGATGCGATTCAGGGTAGCCCTGGAGGGCTGGGGTGGGGCAGGACTGCCAGAGGCCACAGACGGAGTTGGGCCTACTGTGTGCCTGGCAGGTAGTTTAGCAATAAAAATAATGGCTGCCACTTCTGGGGGCTCTCTCAGCCCTTTCACCAACAGCTTTTGGTTTCACCATGAGCTGAGAATCACTGACTGTGATCTGGGACCGGGAGCTGGGAATCACTGTGCCTACCTTACAGATGTCCATGCAGGACTCACGAGACTTGTCCAGCGAGCAGGGCTCCAAAGACCATACTCTCTTGCCCACACAGGCCAGACTGTGGTTTTGAGACCCCAGGATGACCAGACTGCCACATGATTTTTTTGAACACTGAATACATGCCTGCCATCCTGCTACACTTCACATGAACCATCACTTCCCATCCTCACAATTATTACTCCCATTTAACAAACGAGGACACTAGGGTTCAGAGAGGTTATGCAGTTTGCCCAAGGTCACACAGCCAGTGAATGGTGGAGCTGAGATTCAAACACAGGCAGTCTGACTCCAAGATTCATGGGTCCCTATTGTTAAAGAAAACTTTTTCATTGCACTTGTTAAAGAATGGTAAGGCAGACTTTATTCAAGACCATAATGATTGGGCTTCCCTGGTAGCTCAGTGGTTAAGAATCCGCCTGCCAATGCAGGGGACACAGTTTCGAGCGCTGGTCCGGGAAAATCCCGCATGCCATGGAGCAACGAAGCCCGTGCACAACAATTACTGAGCCTGTGCTCTAGAACCCATGAGCCACAACTACTGAGCCTACGTGCCACAACTACTGAAGCCTACGCACCTAGAGCCTGTGCTCTGCAACAAGAGAAGCCACTGCGATGAGAAGCCCGCACACCGCAATGAAGAGAGCCCCCTCACCACAACTAGAGAAAGCCCGCGCGCAGAAACGAAGACCCAACGCAGCCAAAAATAAATAAGTAAATAAATTTATTTAAAAAAAAAAGAATATATAAGGGATTCTTAAAAAAAAAAAAGACCATCATGATGGGTGTAGGGACCGCTGCGTGGGGTTTTGGTGTGGGGAAGAGAGCTTGGGATCAACTCGAATACAACAAGGAAAATTAGGAATTTATAGCTAAGGAGCAGGTCAATGGATGGAAAAATACTAAGAGGAAACATCAGGGGTAAGGGGGGTTCCAGCTAATGGGGGATTCTTGCTAATGGCAGCCCAGGGTGAGCCTACATCACCTGGGGGTGGTGGAGGATGAGGAATTGGATCAGATGTCAAGGATGGAAGATTCTGGCTAAAATGACTTAGCAGGATTCTTGCTAAAATTAGACAATGCAGAGATGAGCTTGGGAGTCCCAAAGTCAGGGCCTAGTTGAGGAAAGGGTTCTGAGGAGCCTGAATTGAGCCTGGTCAAGGAGAGTCTTTGTCAATGTGCTGATCAGGATAAAGAACAGCTGGCTTTCATTCTGTCATCACCAATTCGTTCGTTCATTCAGTTACTCCTTCAGAACATATTTATTAAGCTCTTGCCAGACACTTGCAGGCACTGGGGGCCCAGTAGAGCCTAAGACAGACAAGGTCCCAGCTGGTCCCGGAGCTGACTTACTGCAGGTGGGGAGTGGCTGGGGAGACAGACAAGAAAAACGTAAACAACCAGCAGGATGCTTTCTGAGAATAATGAGTGCTTTGAAGTCCAGGAACCTTGACCCTGGGGTAGAAAGCAAGTGACATGGGGAGAAGGTCTGCTTTAGCCAGGATGGTCGGGGCAGGCCTTTCTGGGTGAGAAGGAGGCAGCCAGTGAGCTGGGGAAAGGGCAGTCCAGGCAGAGGGCACTGCAAGTGCAAAGGTCCTGAGGTAGGGAGAGACTAATGAGTCTGAGGAATAGCGAGGAGGTCAGTGGGGCCAGAGCAGAGTGAGCCAGTGTGAGAGAGAACAACAAGCAAAGGAGGTGAGAGGTAAGCAAGGGGGCCAGCTTTTTTTTCTTTTCCCCCCCCGGTACGCGGGCCTCTCACTGTTTTGGCCCCTCCCGTTGCGGAGCACAGGCTCCGGACGCGCAGGCTCAGCAGCCATGGCTCACGGGCCCAGCCACCCCGCGGCATGTGGGATCTTCCCGGACCGGGGCACGAACCCGTGTCCCCTGCATCGGCAGGCGGACTCTCAACCACTGCGCCACCAGGGAAGCCCAGGGCCAGCTTTTATTGTGTGGGTGATGAGAAGCCACCCAAGGGTTTTACGCATGGGGGTGACAGGCAGTTTTTAAAGATCCTCCTGGCTGCTGTGCAAGAGGTTTAGAGAGACTTTATTCAGCAGAAGTTTCTATTCCAGCAAATATTTAGCAAATAACTGAGTCCACACATCCATATTAGCCTTCAAGGGTGGTCATGTTCACAGCCTGAAGATGTAGGTAGGGAAATAAGTATCCGGTGAACTCCTATACATACTTCAAAACCCACTGTTTCTGCCCACTGGCAGTTAAAAAGCCAGAGCATTTCCCCCCAACCTTATACCAGTAGCCTCCCTGGTAGTTCACCCAAAGCAGGGGATGAAGTTCATTTGGCTCTTATCTTGGCCCTGAGCACAAGCACTTATTAGGTATTCAGCAGATGTTGGACAGAGGAGGTCAGGAAGGAGAACTGAAATGCTTAGCACCCTTTCTGTAGGACAGTGATACAGCTGATGGAACTGACAGGGACAGATTTAGGCTCAGTCCAGGCAAGAATGGCCCAAATTTCCAAAGTTAAAAGCTGCTGTCCTTAAATGAGGTAGTGAGTTCCCGGTCCCTTGGAGGCATACAAGCCGAGCCTGGACACCATCCATCAGGGCTACTTCAGGGGAGGAGTATCTTCCCGGGGAAAGGGGTAATTCGACCAGGTGACCCCCCAGCACCACTTCAACTCCCTCCCAGCCCCAAGATTCTGGGCTGGGGTCCTGGCCCTGTGCCCTGAGCCCCGCTGGCTTCCAGCCATAACCGGCTGCTCTGTCCTTGAAGGCAAGACTCATATGGAGAACTGGAGGACGAGGTCACCTCCTGCAGCCTCTGCTGGTCCACCCACAATGCCACGCATGCAGAGTACACGTGCCACATGGATGTGCTCCAATACATGGCCGACGACGTTTTCAGTGTCAACATGACAGACCATTCGGGCAACCACTCCCAGGAGTGCGGCAGCTTTGTCCTGGCTAAAAGCAGTGAGTATCCCTTGGACCCCAGAGCTGAGGAGGGCACATGGTCCCTGAGACGGCTCCCCTTCCCCCACCATCATAGCTGACCTGTCCTATGTCCTTACCTCCCCTTAGAGTTCTGCTCTGTAGATGCACCGATATTTACTAAGGTGTGATGGGTTGATAACTAGGTTTGAGCTTTAACCAAAGAGAGGCAGCAGCGGTATGAAAAGGAGCTGGACTGGGACCCAGGATCTCGGCCTTCAGTTCTGGTTCAGCCCCTGCCTATCTGTGAACTTGGACCAGTTCCCTATTTGTAGAGTGAGGGCCCTTTTAACCCTGACTCTTAGGGATTCTGTCTACATTATGAGGCAAGTGGGGACACTGAGTCCCAAGAGAAAAACTTCCCTGAGTTTTCTCCCATTCATTAGCTCCAGTGAGGCCTGGAATTTCCCTCCAGGCCGGGGGTGGGGTGGGGGGGCGGTGCTGGCTGGTGGAAGAAGTTGTCTCTGTGGGTCCAGACCTAGGGCGGGTCCAGGAGGCAGCTTTTAGTGTGTGTGTGTGTGTGTGTGTGTGTCCAAAGTGGGATTTCCACAGAGGGGGTGAGAAGCCCGTGCTCAGAGGCATGCAAATGCAGACTGCTAAGAGAGTCCTGCCCTCCTCGGGAAGGCCCAGCCTCTGCGAGGAATCTCTGGGGGATTTTGGCCCTAGGTTCCCAGTGGTGGGGCACGGGGGTGAGAGGGTGTCTGTCACCTGGAGGGGGTCCAGGTTTGCACCACTTCGCTGAGTGGGTGTCGCACCGCACAAGGTGTGAATGAAGATTCACACACACGCAGACACACCCCGAGTCTCTCACACGCACATTCATAAATACACCCTTGGACAAATGCACGGGTGTCCCAGCAGCCCTGGGCCTAGCCAGCCTGGACACAGGCCCACGCTCTCTCACACACGCCCATATGCACACATATGCACACGCTCACTCAGCCATGCAGATCCAGGCGTGGGAGCAGAGGCGCCCCCTTGCCCCTCTGAGTGAGCGGGGCAGACAGCAAGCCTCCCCCTGCCCCTGCAAAGGAGAAGGAACTGCTCCACAGCCCCTCCACCTCGCAGGGTGGCTCCAAGTCCCATTTCTCTCTGGCGCCCTCCCTCTCCCCCTCCCTACCAGGGCCTGAAGCCAGGGGGCAGTGTTCTACTCCCTTCCCCCTCCTGGGCTCTGGGCCCCCATCCTTGACCCCATCCCTGATCCCCAGCTCTGGTCCTCACCACCCAGCCCAGGACGTACAGGGAAGTGGAAAACCAGGTCTCCGTCGGCCTGGGGAAAATAGGAGAGGGCTTAGCAGTTATTCCAGTCCCAAAGGACCCATGGCTGAAATAGCAATGACAATAAAGCCCTCGCCGCAGCCTCCCATTGCAGGCCTTGGTGCTGAGTCGTCCGTAGCCTCAGAGTTCCTTTTTGGAATCCCTGGAAGGTTCATTTGTTGGTTTAACAAGTATCTCTTGAGGGCCTGCTGTGTGCCGGCTCTGTCCTAGGAGCTCCGGACACAGCACTGACCTGGAGAACAAAACCTCTGTCCCAAGGAGCTAAGATCCCCAAGACAGGGGCATATGGCAAGCCGGATCACAGAGCCCAGGAGGGCGTGGTGTTGTGGCCCAGATCTCTGCTCCCGCACTTTCCAGAAGATGTCTGGGAGATGACAACAGTCACATCGAATTCTCAGGGCCCCTGCGGGCGTCAAAATGCTCGCTGTAGAGCAGCCCGGCAGGCACTCAGAGGTGGTAACTTCCGTCATTAGCATAATTGGTGCTAATTAATTAGCATGATGCTAATTACAGTGTTTTGACTTCTCAAGGAAGCTAGAGTTAAAAGAAACTGATGCGGGCTTCCCTGGTGGCGCAGTGGTTGAGAGTCCGCCTGTCGATGCAGGGGACACGGGTTTGTGCCCCGGTCCGGGAGGATCCCACATGCCGCGGAGCGGCTGGGCCCGTGAGCCATGGCCGCTGAGCCTGCGCGTCCGGAGCCTGTGCTCCGCAACGGGAGAGGCCACAACAGTGAGAGGCCCGCGTAAAAAGAAAATGATGCCATCATTTAGAAAAGAAATGGAGAATGAGTGGGTGTCGTTGGTTTCCCCCCGCTCCCCGGCCACGCCAGTCTGCATTCTTGCCCCCCTGAGTCGTAGCACCCCCACTTTAGACTCATCTAAATTTCTCAGATGAGTAAACTAAGGCCCAGAGACAGGGGATGCTTTACCCCAAGTCATTCAGGGTCATTAGTCTTGATCTCGTCAAGGAGAGCATGATTCTCAGCTGCTGCAAAATCTCGTCCCATTTTATCTTTCTGGCTTTTTCCTCTAAGTCAAGCCATCTCCCCCTTTCAATGTGACGGTGACCTTCTCCGGACATTATGACATCTCCTGGAGCTCCGATTACAATTTCTTCGCGCTGAAGGGCAAACTTCAGTATGAGCTGCGGTACAGGAAGCTCGGAGACCCCTGGGCTCTGGTGAGACCCTCAGAGGACTGGGGCGGGGTGAAGGCTTCTAGAGGCATTCTTTGTTTAGAACGTTGGAGAGTTCCAGAATGGCCCACTATTTAGAACAGTCACAGCTGAAGTGTTCTAGAATTATCCATCCTTTAGAATGGTCCCAGTTTAAGATTTTCATAAATGCCATAGTTTAGACCATCCCCAGTGGAAGACTTCCAGAGGTACCCATTGCTAAGACGCCTGTAGTTAAAGACGCCCAGAAATGCCCACCGTTGAAAATAGCCACTGTTGAAGAATTACAGAAGCGTCCGAAGTCTGGAATGCTGCCAGCTAAACATGCCCAGGAATGGCCACTGCTGTTCCCGGGACATTCCCAGGCCCAGCAGGCAGGGTCCCCCGTGGGGCTGTGAGTGACTGAGCTGGGCTCAGAGAGAAAGCGACCAAAGCACTGTATCACAGGCAAGGCCAGGGCAGCGCCCGCGGCTCTGTGCTGCCCACACCGGAGTGGCCAGAGCTCAGACTGACTCTTGTGGAGGGGGTGGAGACTTGCCAGGAGAAACTCCACCCCTTTCCTGGGGGCTGGTAAAGGGTGGTTCTGCTGGAGGCGGGGGCTGGCCTGGGCGGTCCTAACCCAGCGCATCCTTTCCCTGGGTTGGCAGAGTCCAGGGAGAAAGCTGATCTCAGTGGATTCGAGAAGCGTCTCTCTCCTGCCCTTGGAGTTCCACAAAGGCTCAAGCTACCAGCTGCAGGTGCGGGCAGGGCCCCAGCCTGGTTCCTCCTTCCAGGGGACCTGGAGCGAGTGGAGTGACCCAGTCGTCTTCCACACCCAGCCAGAAGGTAAGATGTGAAGCAGGGATGGACACCCACTCCTTGTACTAAATCCTGTCCTAGTGCAGCGGCCCTGAGCCCTGAGATTTTCAGCACGGCTGGAAGGTACCCACTCAGTCATGCATCCCCTTGTAGCTGTTCCACAGCATTTCTGGGGCCCCTGCTTGCCAGGCCCTGCATTGGGTGCCAGGTGCTTCTCCTGGCGGGGCCTTTGATCCTCCTAATGTATCTGTGAAGTGGGAATTATTATCCCCATTTTGCAGATGAGAAAACTGAGGTTCAGAGAGATGAAATCACTTGCCTAGGGTGGGGGTGGGAGCAGGAGTTGAAGCCAGGTCCATCCCACCGCGAGGCACCAGCAGCCCTCCCACCCACTTCCACTCCAGCCCAGACCCAGTGCCCTCCACACCCAGCCCAGGTGGCCTCTCGTAGAGGTTGGTCAAATTCACCCAGTGTTTTCTTCCTTCCCAGAGATAAAGGGAGACTTGTACCCTCAACTGCTTCTCATCTTGGTCATCGTATGCCTCATCCCTGTCATCTTAGGCCTGAAGATCCACCAGGCTTGGAGGTGAGGCCAGGGAACAGGGTGGCAGGTAGGGGCTCCGCCTGGGCCAGAACTGGAGGACACACCTGTCACCATGACAATAGTAATGACAGTGATGGTGATAATAAACTGGGCACTGTGTAGAGCACATGCTTAACCCTCACAGCAGCCATATGAGCTTGATACACGGCATTTCCTCCCATTTGACAAATGGGGAAACTGAGGCACAGAGCTGTCTAGGAACTTGCCCAAAGTCACACAGCAGTGAAGTGGAGGAGAAGGAATTTCGACCTGTGCTCATAACAGTGACCTCAGCTGTGATCTTGTCCAGTGAATTTTAAGCTTTGAGTCCTGAGGGTCAGGAGGGGCCGCCAGGTGGGGGTTAAGGGCTGGTGGAATAACCCCCCTGACAATCCTGCTTCAAAACCAGAGGTTTTGCTTTTATCTCTTTATGTATTGGGTTTCTGCTGAACGTGGCCATCGAGAGAAGGGCTGATGCTGATTAAAAATATTGATAAAACCTAAGCTCCCCTGGCCTTCGTGCATGCTACTGGCTGAGGCTGAGCCCTTGCTAAGTGGCAGACACTGGGCGGGGGCCCTGCATACCCTGTTCAAGGCAGAGAAGCCTGCGAATCACAGAGGGTGTTGCAGACCAGTCTCTGGGTGCTGGGGTGCCTGGTGCTGTGCCTACACTTCCTGACCCCTCCCTACAGCCCCATGGAATTGGCTGTTGGCTCATCCCTGGTGGTGGAGGAGGAAGTCAAGGCTCAGGGGCCAGCACTGGCTTAGCAGAGAATAGGCAGCCAAGCCCTTAAACTCGGAGCACCTTCAGGAGACTCGCTGCCCCATTTTACAGATGTGAAAACTGAGGCCTGGGGCAGAGGGGCGGAAGGGAGGGGCCTGGGTGTGTCTTGGAGGCTCTGAGCCTCCCGCAGGACACATTTGGGGAGCATCTGAGCGGGAGGCCCGGCTGCCTTCTGGGAGATGCGGGGGGCTCACCTCGTCTCTGCCCTCCAGGCTATGGAAAAATGTGTGGGTGCAGGTGCCCAGCCCAGAGCCCTTCTTCCAGCCCCTGTACATGGGCCACAGTGGAGACTTCAAGGTGAGTGTCCCCACCACATGATGAGCCCCTGGGAGCCTCTCACACTCTGGGAGCTTGCTTCCACCCACACATCTAGACCACCAGCCCCACCCACCCTGTAGGCCCGGGGCACCCAGATCCCCGACCCGGGCTGGAACCAGGCTTCAGTCTCTGCCCATGCAAAGTGCAGGAAATAATTCCAGTGGGGAAGAGTTGGCATAAGAATTAAACAAGATCCTGCAGCATTTCCCAGCCCAAGGAGCCAAACTGGGAGAGAGGGTGAGCCAGGTGGTCCCTTGAGCCACGAAGTGGCCTCCTGGTCCTTTGGTAGAAGCCCTTGCTATGGAGGTGGGGAGGGAGCAGCTTCTGGGAAGGATATGGCCCTGCCTGCAAAATACACCAGCCCCATCTAGGCCCCAACCCCCGCTACCAGCGCCATCGCCCTTGGGTTCTCTGTGCCTATTTACCACCACCCACCCGGTGGCGGCAGTCACCGCAGAGAGGATGTGGTGACCCATCTGTTCCAGCAGAGTCTGGAAGTCAGGAAGTGCAACATGCCATCTGCCTGGCACTCACTGAGCGCTGTCTCACCTCCACCCTTTCATCCTCTTAGCAGCCCCTGCAAGTGGGGAGGGTGTGCTCCACCATCCCAGGGGAACCACGAGGAGACTGAGGCTCAGAGCCGGGCAGGGGAGGAGCCTAGGCTGCAGCCCACATTGGATAAACCCTTTCCTCTTTCCTCTGCACTTTCCCTGAAGCTCAAATATCACATCTATTTTGTGTTTGTTTTACCAATACTCTTACAGCCCTTGCTGTGCACCAGGCACTCTGCTAGGAGCGCCACAGATGTTATTTAATTTATCATTTAATCCCCACAACCACCCTGTGGAGTGGAGACTATTAGCAGGCCCATTTTACAGATGCAGAAACTGAGGCACAGAGAGGGTAAGTAACTGGCTCAAGGCCACACAGCTGAGAAGTGACTTCAAATCAGTGGTAAGTGGCCTCAGCAGGGTTCTGAGAGGAGTTTTCTGATGGAGTAGGCTCAAAACTGGGAGATTTTGGTTCTCAGGGATTTTCTCTGCCAACTGGATGGAGACCCTGTGTCATGAGTGGGACCCCTGGCAGGTGAGGGCAGGGGGATCCTTAAAGTTTAGGGACAGCTGCCTCAGTCCATTGTCACCCCACAGCCCTTATCTATTCTGAGTGGCTGGTCCTTGATTCACTCCATTCATTCATTTAGTTAATATACATTTATTGGGTGCCTACTGTGTGCCAGGCACTGTGTGAGCCTCTGGTGACCAGAATTGGGGCTTCTTCCCTGGTCATGTGTCCACTCTAGTGAGGACACAAACAGAAGAATGCGTGGTTTCGAGAAATCTCCCCGAGGACATAAAACAGAAGGCTTGGTGAGGGCTCTGTCACTCAGCTCTCAGGGCCTCCCGCCCCTCATCCCCACAGCTTGGGAATCTTGGACCCACACCCATACAGACCCCAGGCCACTGAGCAGCGGATTGTCTGCGCCTGCAGGCTGCTGAGGGCCGTAGCTCCCTGCTGCAGGCAGGGAGACTGAGGCCCAGGGAGGCCGGGACGGTGACAGGGACTGTCCCTGGATAGGGACACAGCACGGTGCTCAACTGCCCCCACCCCCATCTCTCTCTTTATCTTCTGGAGTCTTTGTCTCTTTCTCTCTTGCTGTCTGTCTTGTCTCTGTGTCTGTCTGTTGATATGCTCGCCCGCCACCCCTTGTCCCCCATCCCATCCATGACTCTCCCTCCTCTTCTCTCTCGCAGAAATGGGTGGGCACCCCCTTCACTGCTTCCAGCCTGGAACTGAGATCCTGGAGTCCAGGGGTGCCCTTGTCCCTGGAGATGCACAGCCAGTGCCTACCGCAGACTGCAGCCAAGGGGCTGGTGCCCATAGAGCTGCCAGAGCCCCCAGACCTGGTGGAAGCCGACGGGGTGCTTGAGCCGGGCTCCTGGGGCCCAGCCCACTCCACTGCTGGCAGCTTGGACAGCTCAGCTCACAGCCAGGAGAGGGACCGGCCGTACGGCCTGGTATCCATCGACACGGTGACCGTGGTGGACGCAGAGGGGCTGTGCACCTGGCCTTGCACCTGCGGGGATGACGGCTACCCAGCCCTGAACCTGGACACCGGCCTGGAGCCTGGCCCGGGCACGGAGGACTTGCTTCCGGGCACGGGGGCCACAGTCCTATCCTGTGGCTGCGTCTCAGCCAGTGGCCCTGCCGGGCCGGGGGACCCCCTGGGCAGCCTCCTTGGCAGGATAAAGCTGCACCTCAAGGATGAGGAGGGTTGGGCCCCCGGGCCGCCCTGGGATGGCGGGTCGCCCCGAGGGGTGTCGGACAGCGAGGCAGGTTCACCCCCAGCTGGCCTGGACATGGACACGTTTGACAGCGGCTTTGTGGACTCTGACTGCGGCAGCCCCGTGGAGCATGACTTCAGTAGCCCCAGGGACGAAGGGCCCCCCAGGAGCTACCTCCGCCAGTGGGTGGTCATGGCCCCTCCACCTGCAGGGCCTGGGCCCCAGGCCAGCTAGTGAGGCTGACTGGCCGTCCAGAGCTGGCCATGCCACTGAGCCACGAGCCACGGACAGGGTCACCTGGGCTGAGGTGTGAAGAGGCCTGCAGCCCTTGGTCTCCCGGCTGGGACCCCTGAGCCTGGTGTTTACAGTGCATGTCCGGGGCTCAGGTGCCCACTGGCGTGGCTGCGCGTGTGAGTAGCCTGCGTGCCTGTGGACACGGAGCTCGGCCGTGGTTCTGCCATATTCCCAAGGCCACTCGTGTGTCTGTGCCGACGTGAGCTTCCCGCGTGCGTGAATGTGAGCCGCACGTGTGTCTGTGGGCACGTGATGACAGCCTCCCTCCCTCCGAGGCACGTGGGTGACCCCCGGGTCACGTGCCGAGACCAGGGCACTGCCTGGGACAGACACCAAGCCCAGCTCCCCAGGTCCTGCCTGCAGAGCCGCACAAAGTCCAGACTGTTCCTTATCGCCTTTCAGGGGGAGGGGAAGGGGACCAAGCGAGCCCACAGTGACCCTGGGGGTGGAAAGATTTTGGGGGGAGCCAGTGGACCTGGGTCTGAATCCTGACTCTGACACCTCCTGGCTGTGCCACCTTGGGTGAGTCACTTCCCCTCTCTGGGCTGGAGTTTCCTGTCTTAATAATGGGGGCGGCCTGACCTACCCTGGGGAGAAATTGGAGAGGTCGCCCATGTACAGTGTGCAGCCCAGACTCTCAATAAACGTCAGCTTCCTTCCTTCTGGACCAAGGCTTGTGCTGGAGGTGGGTGGGAGTGAGAAACCAGACACAGCCCAGGCACCTGCGGGCTGTCCCACCCTGCAGAGGGGCACTTGGGGGATTCCAGGTTTAAAATCAGCTTAGTTTCTTAGAATCAGCCCCTCACCAACCAAGATTTCTTTTTCTGCCTCCTGCTGCCCGTTTTGTTGTTCCCTTTATGCACCCCAGAAATATTTATTGAGCACATTTACTGAGTACATGCAGGTGCTGGGATACAGCGAGAGGACGCTCCCCTTGGCACTCACACTGGGGAGGGCCGCAGGCCGGAGTCGGCAGCAATGACACGGTGGTCCTGATCCCCTGGCATCTTCCTTGCTTATCCTGGGGAATTGGAGGAAGTCAAGTTCTTTTTGATGATTTGTCGGAGAAACTGCTGAAATGTGAATTTAAGATGCTAAGAAAATACTTCTTTGTGACGTTTTGAAGGCACCTTATTGAACGTCAGCTCTGGACAGGAGCTCGATATTGGTGCTGCATGTTGCGTACAACTCATACTTGAAAAAAGAAAAAAGAAAAAGAAAGAAAGAAAAGAGATCATTTTCCTCCTAAGGGTGCTCACCTTTAGAGGCTGCTTTTTCGAGGCCGTGAAGCAGGGTTAAAGTAGCAGAGTCTGATTCAGCCGCGGGCTCTCAGAGCCCTGAGGGGAATCCCTACCCCAGCCTGGACCTGCCTGGCCTGTGGTCCTCCCCAAAGGCCAGGCTGCGTGCAAGGTGATGCCTGAAGCCCTGGCTTGTCTCTGCTTTTGGACGAGGGCTCAGCTGTCGACCCTGCTGATGGTTTCTCTGTGACTCTTCTGTAAAAGGGGATGTTGGAAGAAGTCACTGAGAGAACACAGGATTCTTTGGTTCTGAAAGTTCTAGAACATTGATGGTCTTAATAGTGGGACTGTTAACCTGGGATCAAGGCGTGAGGCTCGGATGGGAGCTCAAGTGTGAAACCACAGCTCCTGCAGGTGTGAGCAGCCCTCACCATCCCCCACCGTCACCCTGGAGACGCTTGGGTCAAGGTGTGCTGTGGTTTTCACACCCTCAAGGAGGCCACAGGTTCCAGGCACCCCGTGAGGCCCAGGCTCCCCGTGGAAGCAGCTCAGCTCTCTCTCCAGCACACACAGCTCTGGGCCAGGGAGTAGGGGGAGGGGACACCTGGGACACTGGCTGTTGCCAGGCCGGGGGTTGGGGGGATGGGGCTCTGGCCTGGGCCAGACATGGCTCCTCACCAGCTCTGTCTTTGAAGGGGACCCAGCTCATAAATGTGGGTGCAGAACGGAGACAGGAACTGGCCCACCTGGGAGGCCAGATTAGTAGGACGGGGTGGATGGATGATTTATGGACAAGTGGGTACATTGGTGGGTGGATGGACGGATAAAAGGATGGTAAAATGCTTGAAGGAAGAGCAGTTGGATAGATGGATGGAGATAAACAGTTGCTAGAGACAAGGATGAAATATCAAACCTAAGCTCCATGAAGGCAACAACTTTGCCTCTTTTGTTCACTGCTTTACCCCCCGTCAGGCACCTAGTGGGCCCTCAATAAAGCCTGATTTGCAGTGTTTGCTTATTTCCATGGTGTGAACAATTTTACCACAGTCAATTTCAAGCTACCAACTTGATGGCCTTAAACATGGGGTTGGAAGAGATGTTTACAATCAACTCTCCTAGCTGGTATGAGGCAGACCCGGCACACCACGGGGTTGGAGCCCAGACAGGCAGCAGGAAGGCCCTGGGGGGCTTCAGGGAGGAGGTGGTGTTTGCTGGGCTTTGAAAAATGAATAGGAGTTGTTAGGGACACCAGCTACTCAGGCAGAGGGAAGAGCTTGAGCGAAGGCCTGGAGGTGTGACTGAGCCCTGAACACATGGGGGTGGGGAAGGCAGTTCCCTGTCACCCAGAGTCCAGGCCAGAATTGCTAATGACCCTGTCTTCAGAGGCAGGAGGATGCCACATTCCGTTCCTGACCCAGCCCTTTTCCATCTGCAGGCTCGAGGGGCAGGATATCCATCTGACAAATGAAGGTGCAGAAGGGGCCGCTGACTTGCCTGAGGTCACACACTGAATTAAATGTCAGAGTCAGAACTTGAACTCTGGGCTCCTGTTCCCAAGTCCAGCTGTCCTCACCTTGCTCTGCTGGAAGGCACCTAGGTCAGGGGCGAAGAAACTCTCAGCAAACACCTATGAGTGCCTGTGCTTCTGCCCTCACGGCGTCGTTGGGGTAGCTGACCCCAGCTCTGGGAGTGACCCAGGCCTGGCCAAGAGAGTATTCTATCCTCCCGGCCTCAGGGCCAGTTCAGGCTCAGACATGTGACCAAGCTGGTCGGTACACTTTTCCTGCTGGGACTGCTCAGCTGCAGGGCTAGACTGAGCCTGGAGCTGCTGGGTGGTGGGACCGGGGAGGGGGGCACCAGGAAGAAACAGCTCACCTAATGTGAGGCCAACACACTGGAAAGCAGAGCTGGGAAGTGGGCGTATACTCCTGGTAATACCCTCTTAAGCTCCTGGATCCAGCCATGCCTGAAACTACATTCCCCCTGGACTTTTGAGGTACACGAGTATGGAAGTCATACTGTTCACCAAGTATTTCCAGCTCTTGGCCTTCTGCCCCGTCTTGTGGTCAGATGGCACCACATGACCAGGATTGGCCAATGAGTGGTGAGCAGAAGTGGTAAGTCTCACCTCTGGACCAGAGCATTGAACTGACGGTCGTGATGCCCTTCATAGTGTTCCTCTGTGCCACGGTGACCAGTGATGTGTGAGATGGTGGCTTCTCCTTCAGCCCGGGGCCTCGAGTGGGGAGATGTGGAGCAGAACTTCTAGTTCACCTGTGATGGACACATATTGTGAGCAAGAAATAAATCTTTTATTCGAATCTGCTAAGATTTGGGGGCTGATTGTTACCACAGCATAACCCAGCCTATCCTGACTGAATCAATGAGCTGTAAGTTTCCTTTTTTTGCTTAAGCATGTTTGAGATGGGTTTGTCACTTGTAGTAGACAGTATTCTCATCTCATCCCTGCAGTGAGGACTGTCCTCCCATCCCAAGGAAGGAGCACATTCAAAGGGACCTGTGGACCAGGCTCCATCATGTATCATGAATGACCTTGGGCAAGTCGCTCGCTGTCTCTGAACCTCAGTTTCCTCTTTTGTAATGTGGGGCAGGAATCAGCCTCTTGGCTGACTCTGGGGATGAAAAGGGAGGATGAGAACAGGGACATTAAATGTGTATGTGCTTCTCTGCCATCACCTTCAGCTGGCCTCTGGGTCAGATGAGGAAAGTGCTGTGGTCCCAGCCCTTCTCCAGTCTCCTTCCCAGAGAAATACCCTGAAGCTGACATTGCCCTGTGCTAGGATTTAAAGAACCCAAGAACTCTAGCTTCCAGACATTTCCCCATCAGTTACTGCAAAGTCTCAGCCTCGGATGCTCTCTGGGTGTCCCGGACCATCTACTTTGGGAAGAAGGGAGAGGGTGCAAATTGGACCCAGCCCTTCATTTTACTGCTGGGGAAACAGAGGCCCAGAGGGGCAGTGACTCGCCCAGTCACCCGGAGTCCGTGCTCTCCACTCTGCATCCTCGGCTCCTTTTCGGCCCCTTGTTGGAGGGAGAGCCTCTTCCCCCCTCCTCCCACCCATCTGGGGACTCGGTTTGCCTGGGCTGCTGCTGGCACTGCATGCAGGATAGCCCATCACAACCCACCCCAACTGTGGTCCCTCCAGATGCACCATCAAAACCCAGAACAGGGGACTTCCCTGGCGGTCCAGTGGTTAAGACTCCATGCTTCCACTGCAGTGGGTGCGGGCTTGATCCCTGGTCAGGGAACTAAGATCTCATATGCCGCACTGCACGGCTGAAAAAAAACAAAAACCAAACCCAGAACGGGCCTTCCGTGGGTGATGGCAGAGTGAGCGCGTGTACTTCCCCTCCGGGGAGATCATGACACCAAGAACAAAGGAGAAAGGCGTATAAACTCTCCACAATGAAGGGGATGGGACAGGGGGTCACCTGCAGTCAAGAAGCATCAACACATGAATGGAAGACAAGCAGAGTCAAGTCTTTGCTCAAATGTCACCTTCGCAGTGGGACCCACCCTAGTCTCCTTACTCAAAACAGCAGCACCCCACAGACCTAGTTTTATTATTTTCCATAACATTTTTTAATCTATTTTATTTATTTATTTATTTTCGCGGTACGCGGGCCTCTCACTGTTGTGGCCTCTCCCGTTGCGGAGCACAGGCTCCGGACGCGCAGGCTCAGCGGCCATGGCTCACGGGACCAGCCGCTCCGTGGCATGTGGGATCTTCCCGGACCGGGGCACGAACCCATGTCCCCCGCATCGGCAGGCGGACTCTCAACCACTGCGCCACCAGGGAAGCCCCTTCCATAACATTTATTGTGCTTTTAACATATGTCTTTCACTTGCTTATCATATTTACTGTCTGTCCCACTAGCACAGGGATTTTGTCTGTTTTACCCACTACTCGGTCTCAGAGCCTAGCATAGTGCCTGGCACATAGCAGGTGCTCAACAAATACTGAAAGAAAGAATGAATGAATCAGTCAAAGGCAGAGTTGTGACTGACAAAGAAGTGGGCAGAGGGGAGGGAGGGGACTGAAACCAGGAGGGACCCACTTGCCCTTGGACTTGGAAATGGCCCAGAATGGGACATGAAAGTGAAAATAGGGGCCTCCTTGAAGTCTGTGAATGGAGCAAGAGACACCCCCGTCCCCCCCACCCTGCTGCTCACACTGTGGGGCAGCTGGGGATCTTCCTTCATCTATAGTGGCAACAGGCGTGAGGGGTTTCCTCTTAAAAAGTGATGTTCCCAGAAAAGAAATTTTGCATTCTGCCATTTTGTGGGTCTCTCAGCATCATGCTGGCTGCCCATCCCAAAGCAAACCCCATCCCTAGAAAGAACTGTCAAGGGGGAGGGCTTTGAGGCTGGACGGCCTGAGTTGGGAAGCCAGCAGATCCACTTACTAGCTTCCAACCTGCAGAAATTATTTTACTTCCTGTGCCTTGGTTTCCTCATACATGAAATGGGTGTATTAATTGGACATACTTAGGGCTGTTGTGAGACCAAGAGTTAATATGTGTGAAGTGTGGAGAGCAGCGTGGCACATTGCAAGTGCTCTGAAAATGTTGTCACTTTATCATCATCTTTGTGGCCAAGTCCCCCCGACCCCAGCAAGCTTTTGTTGATCTCAACCTTAAACGTGGATAGACAGCGAGCTACAGACATCTGGAGACCCAGATGAACCAGCAGGAAACGGAGATGTTGGGCTGCTGCTGCCACCTGCTGGTGACCCCTGGAACTTGGCTGAGGAGCCGGCTGAAGGCGGTGCCCTCCCCGCGCTGCGGTCCAGGGGCTCCCCTATCTGCCTGCGCCGTCAGGTGGCTTCACAACTGTCCCAGAAACTCCATGCGGTGGGGACACAAGGCGAACGGGTAGGTTCTTTTTTGTAAATTGAAGTATAGCTGGTTTACAATATTGTGTTAGTTTCAAGCGTATAGCCTAGTGATTCGTTTTTTGGGGTTTTTGCGTGTCTTTATTTTTCTTTCCATATTCCGTATAGGTCATTACAAGATATTGAGTATAATTCCCTATGCTACACAGTAAACCCTTGCTGCTGCTTACCTGTCTTATGTACAGTTGTTTGTATCTGTTAATCCTAACCTCCCAATTTGTCCCTCCCCCTCTCCTTCTCCCCTTTGGCAACCAGTATGTTCTTTTTAATTAATTAATAATTATTTTTAGTAGGTTCTTTTTAAAATTCAACAAGGGCTGAATTCTACTCCTTGGGTGGGTGGACCCGCATTGGGCAGTGGGCAGTGTGACCACACTAAGCAGGGAGATCACATGTGTGTGTACACACACACACGTGTACATGTACACACATACACACACACAACACATATATGCACATGCACATCTGGAAAGTCCCCGGCATAAGTGGGTCAAGGGCCCAAGGGAAGGATGGGTGGTCAGGTAGTCAGAGGACAGAGCTCACTCTCTGGGCGGCCCTGGGCGAAAGGAGGCTGCAAGGGAAGGGAGGGGACGTGGGAGGAGGCTGGCAGCAGCAGCAGACTGAACGAGAACTGATTGAGCTCCAGGAAGAAGGGAGGCGGATCCTGAGAAGGCAGCCGAGAGGATGCTCAGTGGGGGAAACCAGGAAGCAATTTCAGTGAAGAGGGAATAAAATCAGGACCTCAGTGCCAGGGCTCCTACCATAGCGATTACATAGCGTGTAGCTCTCTACGTGCGGATACAGATGAGCCAGGGACACTGCAGGGTGAACAGCCGGAGCGGTGTCACTATGTAAAGTGTCATCACACACGTCTATGTTTTCTCGGGGGTAGGGGAGCGTAAAAGGTATGTAAATGAAGAGAAAAGGCCTGAAGGAGAAAGCAGCCTGGAGGCTTAAATCATATCTGTAATGTTTTAAGTGTTTAAAGAGAATGGATTGACTCATGGTTTATGTAAGTAAAAAGGAGTAATGAAACCGAGCAGGACCCTGTGGGGCTCCTGGGCACGGAAGCTTTTCTGTCCCCTGCTTTTTTTTTTCTTTTTTCTTTATTTTTTTGGCTGCACCCCGCGGCATGTGGGATCTTAGTTCCCCGACCAGGGATTGAACACGCACCCCCTGCAGGGGAAGGACGGAGTCTTAACCACTGGACCACCGGGGAAGTCCCCTGTCCCCCATTTCTTGTAGGGAACAGACTCCAGCCTCCATGACCTTCCCTGAGTTCCAAAGGGCAGATTGGAACAGTCACTAATCCGGGAAGGAAAGGGATGCAAAGACAAGGGAGGGGCAGCCAAGAAACAATAGTGCAGCCTGGGGGCAGGGTCCTGGTTCCACCTCAGGGGATACACATATCAGTGTCTTTAAGCTATTTATTATAGAATTAAAACCCAACAAATGGAAGATGTCAGCATTTTTCATACCAGAGAAGCTCATCAACAAGATTACCCAAGACCAGATCAGAGGAGTGCAAGCCCTGCACACACCCTAATCTTAACAGCAACCCCACCCTTGAAACATTGATAAAACTCATCAAATCCTCCTGGGTTGGGACATGATACAGTTTTTCAGGGAGGGAGCCTGCTGTGTCCCCCTTTGCAATAAAGCTATTCTTTTCTGCTTCCCCCAAATCTCTGTTTCCAAGATTCAATTTGGCACCTGTGCACAGAGGCTGAGATTTCAGCATCAAGAGCTGACCCCACATCCCTATGTCCCAGCTCCCATACACATGCCCAAACTGTCCCTCGACTGGGGGAACAGGAGAGGAAACAGACTTGGCTGAGCTGTGCTTGCCCTTGGTGTTCTTCAACTCCTCTGGCCCTCCTGTGAGGAGGATATTCCATCCCCATTTCTCAGATGAGAAAACCAAGGCCCTGAGACGTGAACATCAAGAATGGATCCCAGGGCTTCCTTGGTGGCGCAGTGGCTGAGGGTCTGCCTGCCGCCTGCCGAAGCAGGGCACGCGGGTTCGTGCCCCGGTCTGGGAGGATCCCACGTGTCGCGGGGCGGCTGGGCCCGTGAGCCATGGCCGCCGGGCCTGCGCGTCCGGAGCCTGTGCTACGCAATGGGAGAGGCCACAACAGTGAGAGGCCCACATACCAAAAAAAAAAAAAAAGAATGGATCCCCAAAACAGAGTCCTACTACAAAGCATAGGGAACCCTAGCCAATCTCCTGGGATAAACTTTAATGGAAAAAATATAAGAAAAAGAATGTCTCTATGTGTGTAACTGAGACACTTTGCTGTACAGCAGAGATCGGCACAGCACTGTCAATCAGCTATCCTTCAATTAAAACACCAACCTTACCTTGCTCCTGCCACACAACGCACTCCCACAAAATCAGCACGTGTTTACAAAGCAGATCACATCCACTGTTCTACTTGATCTCAGAAAATCCCCCCAAATGCTAGTTTTCCACACTTGAGTAAAAATGATGCTAAGACTTGGCCAGGTCTTGGCTGTGCTAGGGGGGTTCACCCTCAAGACCCTAGACCTCATGCCCCGCTCCCCTGCCCACCGCCCCGTCACTCTGGAGTCTGGCCCGGGGACCAGGCGCCTGGCAGAGGGAGGATGGAAACACAGGGCCGCTAGCTGGGCCAGGTCAGAAGCTGCAGGCTGTGAGATGAGCTGCAATGGGCCCGAGACTGGGCCTGGGGGTGCAGCGGCGGTGACTAGGGGGGCAGGTCCCGTACGTGTGACCGTCACAGGCAGTGTTACCAGGTTTCTCATCTTTCAAGAGAAGACAGAGATCTGGATTTGTACAAAATGTGAAAACTCCAATTTTAAAAAAATGTTGGAAACTAAAAAAACAACAGAAAAAGAAATGTGGGCTAAAAGAGAACAGCCACGGGCCAAATCCACGCCCTAGGCCTGAGACCTCTGCGGCCTGCTGGCATTTGGGGCCACGATTGGCCGGCAGGCCTGCCCTGGATTGGGTGCTGCCGGACGCCTGTCAAGGGACAGGCACGGGCCCAGCTGGGTGGGAGGATGGACTTCCAAGGCAGCCGCAGGCGGTCAGGCTGCGCCCAGCACCCCGACTCTTCGGTTTTACAGGCAACATCTTATTCCCGGCTGTTCCGAGGTTGAAAAACAAGGAGCCCCCAGGGGATCAAAGATTCTTTAGATAACACACACAACAAATTGCATTTTACTTCGCTTTAATTAAAAAATATATAAATACATGCCAGGGGATTTTTTTTTTTCTTAATAACAGGTTGAAAGAACAAAACAAACCCCAAACCTGCCGGGACTCCCCGTTCCTAGGTGGCAGGAGGCCTGCAGGCGGGTCGCAGGCTCAGCCCCAGCCCAGGGGTCAGGGGTGCTGCCTGGAGAGGAGCAAGTCTATGCCGGGCCCTCGGCAGTGGGGCACCCAGCCCCGCTCCGTGACACGGCCCCAAGAGGCCCTGCCCCTCAGGCCACAAGGGCTTTCCAGGGAGCAGGGAGAGTCCTCCGCGGCGGGGTGGCTGGAATCTGGAACGCGAGGTCTGCGTGCATGGGGCAGACCCCCACGGCCCCCAGCTCCTGACCCCTCACTGGCCAGTGGATGTCCGTACAGAAGGCTCGGGGCCTGGGCAGCCTCGCCTCGGAAGCCCTTGGAGGACGCTCCCCACAACCCAGGTTCCAGAGAGATCGGGAACACGAGGAGGAGAGCAGGCGGGACCAGTGTCTCCAAGCTCTCCCCCAGGCCCCGGGCTGACGAAGCACAGTCCTCGGGGCAGCCCCGGAAGGGCCTGGGAGCAGGCGGGCGGGCAGGCTTCCTTCCAGAGTTCCAGGCCAGGAACTACAGGCGGGGCCGCAGGCTGGGCACACAGTGTCCCCGTGCAGCAGGCGGGACGCAGGGCCCCCCCGTGCCCTGACCTCGCCAGGCTGTACCGCACACGTGGGACCCCCAGGAGAGAACATCCTCTCCTCAGGGCCGGCGCTGGGACAGGAGGCTCAGAAGTGGACCCACTTGTTCCAGTTGGCCTCGTGGGGGAAGGCGCGGCCCAGGCGGAGCGTGCAGTCCAGCGTGGGCTCGTAGAAGACCATGGGGCTCCCGCCTGGGCTGGGGGGCGTGTCTGCCTCTCCGCCCACCGGCTTAGAGAAGAGCGAGACGGCCGGGAGCTTTCTCAGCTGGCGCTTCTGAACGCAGCCGAGGGATTCCAGGCCCTGCAGATGACACAGACAGACCGGTTCACAGGGGCATTCGAGGACCACGTCCTCTGTGCCCGGAGCTGCTCCCAGAACAAACACCTGAACCTGGCCTTGAGAGACGAGTAGGGATTGACCAGGGGGGTTTAGGCAAAAGCCCAGGGCAAGAGAGAGAAGCGCGTGACCAGCATCTGTACAGCAGCCCTGTGTTGAGCAGGGGTTGCAGGCCAGCTTCCAGATGGGGTTCTGTTTGGCCCAGACCTGCTGTAAAGTGCGGGGAATTTCACACTGAACTTCCCGTTTCCACTTCTGTGGAAAAGCTGGAGGCCCAGGGCACACAGGGCCGGAGCTCACGGCGGCCATCAGGCTGAGCTGCCCTCAGGAGGCTGCGAGCACGTCTCCAGCTCTCCTGCCACCCACGGGGGCTTGTCACTCACTACTCACCTGTCCCTGTGGGCCTGTGAGCCTCTGAGCCCTGGTCTAGAGAGAGGGTCAGAGGCAAGACCCCGGGAACGCCAACATGTAGGCCTGGGCAGCAGCTCGGGGCTGGGAAAGGGTGCTGTGAGGGACGGCCTGGGGACAGGAACCCAGGGCAGGGGTGGGGGATGTGGGAGGCTGGGCGCCAGCAGCGCTAAAGGGCACAGAGGCCAGAGGCAGGAGGACAGAAGCAGGCATGGGGCTCGGCCAGCGCCGCGGCCTCAGAGGGCAGTGGGGCTGACGGGGGGTGGGGAGTAAGCAGTGCGGGGGACACCTGGGGCCCGAGGCTCTTCTGAGGAGCCTGGCTGTCTGCCAGGAGACCAGTGCACCCCCGCGGGCCAAACCTGTACGTGGCGGCCACACCCTCGAGCTCAGCCAATGCGCCCACCAACCCTGGCCCTCTGAGACTCAAGCCCAGGCCCAGGAAGAGGGAGCTGCAGTGGGGGACAGGGACCCAGTGAGGACCCTCCCCGAGCCCAGTCACACCTGGAGCAGCTCGAGCACAGCGAGGGGCTGCAGGACGCCCTCGTAGTGCTGTAGCAGGCAGCTCTCGGGCACGCCGGGCCTGGTCATGATGTGGTGCAGCATGCCCTCCATCATGCCCTTGATCACAGGCGTGTTCAGGCGGCCGTCCACGATGCGCCACGGGCGCCCGATGAAGCGGATGCTCTCACAGTCCCTGCGGGGTGGGCACATGGGCGTCAGGCTCGCATGGTCCCAGCTCCATGGGACCCCAATGCTCAGCGAGGTCCGGCGCCTGGCCTGGGGCTCAGGGCTGGGGACCGTCTCCCTCTTGCTCTTCCACCTCCCCCTCCCCCATCTGGACAGACAGGGTCCCAGCCCCACGGCCCACGAGCGCCGGACCCACATCACCGCACACTGGCGGGGGCAGGGGGATGGGGGCGGGGGAAGTGCTAGGACCTCTGGATTTACCAGCTCCATCCGGGACCCAGGCCACTGGCTGCCTCGCCTTCTGACCAAGTTCTCAGGTCTGTACTCAAAAGTTCTACTTCTGTGCTGTATATGGGGGTTCCAGACACACTTTCCTTAGAAGGTTTCTGCTAAAAGCTTAACCAGTGACTGGTCTGACACACAGGGTCCCGGCGTGAGACAAGCCCCAGGGTAGCTGGACACTTGGCTCTGACTGCATGACTGGGCCCTGGCGGGGGGCGACATCTAAGCTGGGAGAGCACGGCCCGGCCAACCTGAGGGTGATGTACACACTGGGGCAGGCGCCCCCTCGCCAGAAAGGCTTTTGTGACACCCACTGTTCCCGACGGACCGGGCGCTACAGCAGTCAGCACTGCTGGGCCCTCGTCCACCACGTGCAAGGAGCACCTGCCTGGCCCCCCAGGGAGCGAGACCAACAGTCCCTCCCGTGTCCCGGACCCCTGTGCTACACAGATCTCTGTGAAAGACCTTCACGTAATAACTGATCTTGGACCCTGGGGACAACCCCCAAGGCCCTCACCGCTCCCCCCCGGCCCAGGCCACCTGAGTCCGAAGCACACTCACCTTTCCCACGCTGCCTGGGAGAGGCCCCCGGCCGCAGAACCGTCCGCCAAACCTGACAAGAGAGAAAGGGTGTGGGAGACTGAAGAAGGTGAGGCCCATCTCTCCCTCCTTCATTCATCCCGCAAGTCCTTCTGGGTCTGGGGATAAAGCAGTGAACAAAGCAACAGCAATCCCGCTCCTCAGAGCCTTCACCCTGGGGTGGCGGGGCGTGGCGGGCAAAGCCTGCATGCCCAGGACAACACGGGACGGGTGGCAGGGTGCAAGTGTGCAGCTGTGCTCAGGGCCCCAGGGGCCCCAGGACGCCCCGCCCCGGGGAGCGGCGAGCGCCTGAAGCCCTGACTGCAGAGCTGGGGGTGTGAAACCCTTGGGCAAAGACATCCCAGAGGATTATAGCATGGGAGAGGAAAACGGGGCACCTGCCAGGCCCCTGGGGAGGCCAGAGCCCTCCCCTTTCTGCTTCCTGACAGGGATGCTTCAGGAAACACCTCTTTCCAGAACCAAGAGAGCGCCCTGTCCTCATGATTCACAGGTCGGCTTAGGAGCATCTAAGGCCTCTGCCCTCTAGTGGAAATATGAGTGTCAATAGGCAAGAGCTTCCCCCTCGAAGTCGAGGCCGTGAAAAGCTGATGTAAAGGCCCCTTTTGTGGCTGCAGCAGGTTCCCGGCCCATCGGGCCCCGTGACAGAGAATGGGCGGGGGGGGGGAAGGTGGTGTGCGGGACAGGGTTTGGTACCTCTGGGGTCTTCAGGGCCCTCCGGAGGCTGGGCCTGACAGCTCAGCTGCTCTCGGCCTGGGGAGCTGGGTACCCCGACGCCCTCTTGGTCCTCCTGCCTGGCTTCCGATGCTCTGGGGGGAGGCTCCCTCACGCCTGTGTCCTCAGGAGCTGTGGGCAGGGCAGGCACCTGGGTTTCTGGTTCTTCTTCTGCTCTGGGCCCCAGGCTGGGGGCCAAACGCACGTCCTGGAGTGTGGGCCTCTTTGTGGGGGGCTCCGGGGCACTCTCGGGGTCGGTTCCCCCTCCCTGGCTGTCCACATCTGCACTGGCCCAGCTGGCACGCCTCTTGGCGTTCAGGGGGCCCTGAGAAGGTGGTGCCTGCCTCTCAGAGGGGTCGTCCTCGCTGGAAGGCCCCTCGGGGGGTCTGGCCTGGGGATCTTCTCTTTGAGGGTCAGTGCCCTCCTCTTTGTCTTTTAGCCGCACTGAGTGCAGGAGCCAGGGCTCGGCAGAGGCCACGGACACCAGGCGAGCGGTGTTGCCGCCGACTTCCAGTACCTGCTGTTGCTCTAAGAGGTCCTAGGAAAAGCAGGAGACACACGGCGTCTGTAGGGATCCCCAGCGTCATTGGGGTCCCCCTTCCCCTGCCTGAGGTGTTTAAGCGTTCTGAGCAAGTGGCCAGCCCAGCTCCTTCAGGACAGGTGGCTCCGCCTGCGCCCTCAAAGCTGATGTGACCTTACAAGTCTCCTTCTGCCTGGCCAGCTCCTCCTAGACTTAACACCCCGAGGGTTACCAAGTTCTTCTGCAAAAGCCGTAATTATTCCCAAGTGAAGGACAGCGACTCCTTCCCTCGTTCACCACGCATGCCCTCTTCCCACGTCCTTGTTCTTATCTACGAGCTGCACCAACTCTGGGCAGCACACAGGGATTCACCAACATCTTTTCCTTTTTTATTAAAAATCCCACAAGTCAAGATTCAAGGAGTTTGCCCCTGTTCACAGCCTGGACGCAGGACTCACACCCACATCATGCGGGTCTGGGGAGGGTTAGCTGCGCATGCGCCACTAGGGCCCTGTGCTGGACACCAGGGAACAGAGGGAGCTGCCTGCCCCTCGCCTCTCGGCAGTCAGTGGGATCCGCTGCCTGGGCTCCAGCACCGGGGCCTGGGGAAAATCCTCACCCTCCCTCCCAGGGCCCCAGAGGCACCATGAGTTTTAAGAACAATCCAACACCAAGTGAAAGGTACTCAACAGCCCTCTTGTATTTCCTGTATGGGTAAGAACTCCTTTGATAATGACAAGTATCGACTTCCACCCCCTCCCCGCTGCCCCAAGAACACACAGCAAGGCAGGCACCTCGCAACATCAGTAACACACAACATCGATGACAACTGACACGCGAGAGGGCAAGCCAGGTCCCGGGGCACTTGATCTAAAAGGTCCAACTCTTCTCACATTCTTTGGGTTCAAGGGTCACTGATGAAAATGGGTCCGGGCAGGGAAAGCTGTAACCAAGCAGGACCCTACGGGGCCTTTGCGGGGCAGGCCTTTCCCCCACACCCTCTGCTTTAGCTCCTCTCTGAAGTACCCAGGTAACAGTACCTGGTGCACTTTCCTGAACTGTTTTACAGAGGCGACCCCCCGCCCCCCACCCCATCAAATGGAAGAAATTTAAATTTGCAGTCCCCAGACCTACTGGCACCTAAGGACTGACAATGTTAACTAACCCCTGTGACACCACCCTGTTCCCTCACCATCAGCCAATCAGAGAACTGTACACGAGCTGATCACGAACCCTGAGACCCCTCTCCCTCACCTGGCCTTTAAAAATGCTTTGCTAAAACCTTTCAGAGAGCTCGGGGCTTTTTGGGGCATGAGCCACCTGTCTCCTTGCAGGGCCCTGCAGTAAAACTTTCTCCCCTCCAAACTCCGACGTTTCGGCTTGTTGGGCCTCATTGCGCGTCAGGCACGCGGACTTGCACTAACAAAGTGGTGAGTACTGTGGACCAGGTGCAGGGTACCTGGAGACAGCAGAGAGCTGGGGAGGACAAGGCCCATGGCTTGGGGGGGCTCCGGCCAGCTGTGCTGAAGAAACAGGGCCCAGAGTGGCCAGACCTTCTAAAGTTCAGGAGAAGCTGGCAAAATTTCAGGCTAGATCTCCTGTCTTCAGTGTTGACAACGAATCCAGCTTTTGAAAAAATTCCACTACATGCCCCAAGCCAAGCCCACCCGCAGCGTGCGTCTGGCCCGTGAGTTGCTACTTCTGGTTTGGCTACCACAGGCTGCCTGAGAGTACTGCTCACCTGGACGTAGTCTGCGAAGGTCCGGGAGCGCTCCCCATCTGTCCTCGCCAAGGCGGAGAACCTTCGGCTCAACTCCACCCTGTCCACCCCAAAGCAACCGGCCGCTGCGATGGCCCCCTGGACTTCCAGGGCGGCGGACACGTCTCCGGGTTTGTACCCAGATAGCGCCAGCTGGTGGGCGAACTCTTCCAAGCTGCAGGTGTCCTTCTGGCTGTTTATCAGCCTGGTGAATGTGTCAGGGAGGCAGGAGGTTCCCACCATCAGCTCTTCCAGAGAAGTGACTGTGGAGACCAGGAGGACCAGAATCAGCCCTGAGAAGCCCCTCCCCCACCAGACCAGTGTACAAGCGATGCCGAGGCAGGTCATGCTCCAACACCGACTCACTGCTCCCCCAAATGTCCAGGGGTTGTCTTCTGGGTGGACACGGTTGGGCCCCTGGCAGTCAGGTCCCTGATACATGCCGCCCTGGGCCCTTGACTGCAGCCCGCTCAATCCCCAGAGCCAGTATGATTCTCTTGTTCAAGATTCACAGGGAAGGGCTCAAAGGTGGGGCTGGGGTCTGAGAGCCAGAACCCTAGAGCCCTGGAGGGAGCGGGGTGGCCCTCCACTCAGGCTGCCCGGGCCCCACCCTTCCTGATGCTCCCATGTCCACGGCTCGCAGACCCCGTGAGATACGCCGGGACCCCTCCATGAGTCCCGACTTTTGTTCACACCAGCCACGGCTGGTTTCTGGTGCTTCCTGTACAAGATGTCTCTGCTCAGACCACAGGCTACAGGTCATCACATTTTTGCCTGGGCCAAGCGCTCCTGACACAGCACAGAATACTGACTGTGGTTGTGAAGGTAAACACCTCAACACGTGAAAATAAAGGCAAGTCAGACAGAGCAGGAAAGGGGTAGGAAGGGGGAAGAGAAGTGCAGGGACGAGGCCCTAATATTCTCATTTTACGTGGAGGAAGGAGAGACTGCCAGAAATTAAGGGTGCAGGGAATGGAGGTTTAAGCAAGTCATCATCGTCTCAAAGGCAATCAACAGAAGAACTCAGAAAAGTGTAAAAACTGGAAGTAAAGGAGATGAGAGAGAACGAATATAAGCAGAGTACTCATTTTTCACAGCAAGAGGTCAAAAGACAACACTCGGGCAAAGAGACCATGGTGAGCGCTAACCGCACAGCGGGCACAGCCCAGGGCTCCCGAAGCAGGCAGCTCAGGACGCGCCCTCTGCGCCGGCTGCTGCGGACAGCAGGCCTTCCCTTTGCCTTCCGCTTTGGCTCAGTCAGTGACGGCCGCTGCACGCGGCCTTGGGAGCCTGGCCATGAGCCCCAGGCCTGGGCCGTGGGGCAGCTGGGGGCACTCACCAGCGGCTCCGAGCCCGGTGGGCTTCGGGGTGCAGCGCAGCCGGAGCTTGACCCGGCAGGAGTTCACCACGATGCTGTCGCTGGGGTTGAGGTTGCGGTTGCTGACGATGCCGGGGGCGCAGCAGCCCTTCATCAGCAGGTAGTTGGTGTGGGAGGCCTGGCGGGCTTTCACCTCGATGCTCCGGCGCTTGGCCCCCGAGCCTTCGTCCAGATCTTCCTCTTCATCCTCGTCCTCTTCCAAGGCGCCGTCCTTTCCCAGGCTAGGAGCGGAAAACGGACCTGGACGACGGAGCCCAGCCAAGTCTTCTGCTGGTCTGGCCGCCCCCTCAGAGAGCAGCGCTCCGACCACAGACACAGCCCTGGCATCCGGCTGTGAGGTCAGGTTAGCACAGACTGCGCTCCAGATTCATCTCCCTCGTCCACCTTCCATACCCACCCCGTACCCCACGTCCCTATACCTGTGTCTCTCCAAGGGCTGTCCCTTCGGCCTGGAAACGCTTCCTAGTCTCTGTCCAAAAATGCCTGCTTTTCCATTAAATCCCAATTCAGCTGTTACAGCCTCAAGGAACCTTTAACGACCCCCCCCTGCTCTGCCTACCCCACCCTCCGTGCCACACTGTTCTGGGTCCTTCTCTTTGGTGTGGCCCAGTCACCCCCTCCTCTGGCTCCCCCGGCGCCCAGAGGCACCAGCAGAAGGTGCTGCACTGGACACCGTACTGGAATCCCTGGTTCACGGATCCGTGAGGCCCCGACCCGGGAGCTCCCGGAAGGCACTGCCGAGGCCCTGCTGTCTTTGTACGGCAAATACCCACACAATGCCAAGCGCAACGCAGAGAAACGCAGCACGTGTTCGTTGAAAATAAAAACCAGATGACTGAGGAAATAAAATTGCAGATGCCACAGCCTGAGAGGAAGTGATGGTGCCCAAAGCCCCCGACGGTGCTCGGAGCAGCAGCCCAGCGGCTGCCCTGGCTCTTACCTCTTAATGACCTCGTTCTCCACCATGGAACTGTCCACCACAACGATCTGCTCTGGGATCCTGACGTCCATGGAAACAAGGCCCAAAGAGAAAAGGGTCAGGACGGCCACACAGTGTCCTCCAGGGCCGTCCAAAGAAAATGCCACCAGGTCGCTCGTGGAGTCGTTATTATCCTGGTCTTTGAAGGAAAAATTATCAGGCTGGTCCAACTTGCCGGCAGCCCGGATTCTGTCGAAGAACTGGAATGATTCTGTGCAGATGGTACTCGGAAATCGCCACGTGAAAATCCTACGCAGAAAGAAAAGGGAAGGGCCTTTCTGAGGACAGGGTGCTGGAGGCCTTAGTGCGGATGGGCTGAGGGCACTTCACATCTTGCCGTCAACACTAAACACACCGGCTTCTCCCTGGAAGCCCTGTTTTCCATCTCAGATGAAGATGCTGCACCTTTTCATCTAACCCCAAACCCTAGGCCTCGCGGTACCAGATTGGGGGAGATGAACGTGCTTTTTGTAATCATCTTTACACGAGGCAAGCCCTGAACCCCTACAGAGGGGAGGGGACATGCGTGTGTTCGATCTCACAGTCTCCACTCGGAGCCTGCAGTCAAGCCCTTGCCTCTGTCCAGACTCTGTAACAACCTTTTGCTGACGTGCCGCAAACTGGGTCTAAAAAGTACATGATGGGGTTTCCCTGGTGGCACAGTGGTTAAGAATCCGCCTGCCAATGCAGGGGACACGGGTTCGAGCCCTGGCCCAGGAAGCTCCCACATGCCAAGGAGCAACTAAGCCCGTGCGCCACAATTACCAACCCTGCGCTCTAGAGCCCGCAAGCCACAACTACTGAGCCCGCGTGCCACAACTACTGAAGCCCACGTGCCTAGAGCCCGTGCTCCCCAACAAGAGAAGCCACCGCAATGAGAAGCCCACACGCAGCAACAAAGAGCCAACGCAGCCCAAAATAAATAAATAAATAAATAAATTTATATATATATAAAAAGAGCAACTTAAAAAAACCCAAAAAGTACATGATGGCTTCCAAATGAAGTGTGTGAGCCTGCAAGGCAGGCGGCCTGGTACAGCTCGGAGCCGTGAAGATTAGGACCGAGGTTAGGCCCAACCAGGAGGGTGCACTTTTAGCTGGTCTAATTATTAGAAACTCCCCAATTTGATGGAAAAAAGGGAAACAAACTACCTACAAAATTGGTAAAATACCCCAACACAAAATACGGCAAGCATTAACCTTATTCCCATAGAAGGGGGGACAGACATTGATGAGAAACTTGGTCCCAGAGGCTGTGTCTCGCGAGGCCCAGGCCGCCCCGCTCTCTGATGAAGAGGGACGCCCGTCACTTCCGCTCACCTGTGCTCCTCTCCGCAGACAGGCCCCGCCCTCCCCGTGCTCACCTGTGGTAGGTCTGGGACAACTGGTAGGACATGGGCGCGAAGGGCAGAGCGCGGTTTTTCTTGGGGCCCAGCGTGTGGTTGACCCGGCGCCGGTTGACCAAGCTCCTCTTCTGGTACTCCACGAAGGCCTTCACCAGGATGTGGTCCTTGTACTCCCGGTAGAGGCGGAACGTCTGTAACACAGCAGGCCGTGGTGAACAGGGCTCCCCAGCCGGCAGGGGGAAGACCCAGATGTGGATGCACAGAAGCCACAGCTGATCACTGATGGAGGAAGCGGTTGGCGGTGGGGGAGAGCCCGGAGGAAGCCCACATCCCGACGGTCGGCCTGCACCCACCTTCACGTCACCTCAGAGAGTACAGAGAACAGGCAACTGCAGGGAAAGGCGGATGCCTATTTCTCTGGCTGCAAAGACGCTGGGAGCTGACGCAGAATCATCTCTGATACCACTGTATCCCTTACCACGACCTAACCCATCAGCATGTCTGCTGGGCTCTACCCCCAAAATATGTTCCCAGACACATCTGGTCTGTGCCATCTACACTGCCACCATCTGGGCCATGCCACCATCGTTTCTCCCCGTGGCCCCCTGCCCCCAGCCCGACCACTCTGCACAGCAGCCAAAGTAGCCCTTTGATGCCTAAATCAGACCACACGTTCCTTCCCTGCCTCGAAGCCCCGATGGCATCTGTCTGCAGGGGGAACTCTCAGTCCTCACTAGGCTTGACGAGACCCCCGTGAGTGGGACCCGGTCCACCACCCTGGCCTTGACTCCTACAGTAAGTGCAGCCCTTGCTTACCACCCTCCAGCCTCACCGGCTTCCTCACGCTTCTTGAACAAGCCAAGGCACTGCCGCCTCGGGGCCTTTGCACTTCCCGCTCCCATTTCTCGGACAGCACACTCCCCCAGTCTCTACGTGGCTGACTTCCTAACATTCAGCTCTCAGCTCACACACCTCCCCTCAAAGGCCAAATCCTCCTCCGTCCTGCTCCGCTGCTGTCAACTCGATTACATTAGCCTGTTTCCTTTTCTCCGTAGTAACTGTGTCTGCCTGAAACGATCTCATCTGTTTATTCACTGTCACTCCCTTCCAGAACACAGACTCGACTCGTGCTGCTGCCCCAGCGGGCACCTGGCACCCAGCATGGGGCAAAACGGAGGGCGGTGTTGGGTCCTGGGTGCTGAGGCTCCCCCCGTGGGCCACGCCGCCATGGCTCCCTGGCTCGCAGATGTGGATCCCGCCCAGAGGGGCAGCAGCTCGGCGGACTGCGGGACCGGCAGTCCCGTCACTCCAGTTTTCCGAACAGCGCTGGTTCAGTCAATTGACAGCAAATGTCGAGTACACACCAGCCTCCAGGAAAGTTCAAAGCACTGGCCAAGAAAACCTGCAGGCATGGTCTGAGAATCCTGGCTTAGAAAGTTCTCTGCTGCACTGACCCCGGGACCCGAGGGTGACAGGAGACTGAGGCTCACCGGCTTCGAGGGATCTTCCGAGGCCACACTGCTGGGAGGGGCGGGACCAGGGAGAGGACGAGGTCTCATCCTCGAGCCAGTGGCCAGGGGATTGGGAGTCAAGTGGTGGTCAGTTGGGGTGCTGGGGCAGCATGGGGTGGCTCTCCCGGAGACAGAGTGGGGTCTGGGCACATACTGGGTCCTGTCAGTCCGAGGTGCGCACAGTGCCCTCGATTTCTCCAGGTACCAACTCTACGTGCGTCCTGGTGCACGGACTAGCAGGCTGATGGGGAAAGACTGAGCGGGGCGGAGGGAAGAAGCAGGACGCAGCCGTCAGGTCATCACTGCTTCCCCCCAAGCGGAAGTGGAAGCTGAATCCAGCTTCCTGTGAAACACCTACACCTTCTGCTTGTCTCTTCCACGTGAAGACGAGGATGGGCGCACTCCCCAGACGGCCGCCGGCGCGGAACAGGGCGCACAGACCACACACAGTGAGCGGGGGATGTGGCACAGCCCGTCAAGACTCCCAAGAGGCTGGGCTGTCACAGACACAGTGAACTACCGCCATCTGGGGTGCCTGTGACGTCCACCTTCCTGCAGCACACTTCCCAGAAGCTCGGGGCTGCAGGGAGCCTGGTAGGATCCCGGGTGGCCTCTGACCTCATCCCTTTTCTTTTTTTTGGGGGGGGGGCGTGGGCACACCACGTGGCTTGTGAGATTTTAGTTCCCTGACCAGGGATGGAACCCGGGCCAGCCCTTGGTAGTGAAAGCGTGGACTCCTAACCACTGGACCACCAGGGAATTCCCCGACTTCATCCCTAATGACCTCCCACTCCCTGCTGCCAAGGGGAAGGGGTCGCTGAAGCAGGGCCCCGTGTCCTCCTTGGGCTCAGGCGCTCTCTCTCATGCGACTTACCACACCCTGGGTGGTCAGCGAGAGTGACAGCCCCTTGGCACCATCCCTACCGCTCAGACCCAAACTGGAAATGGAGCTAGAGGAAGGAAACGTGAGGCCACGGCCCTGGCTGGGACACAGGGACCAGGCTCTTGCCATAACTTGGGAGCTGGGCTTTCTCGTGTGATGGGGGTTGGACCGACCCCCGAGGTCCTGCTAGCTCTAACCCCGGCTGGGCAGGAGAGCTCGTCAGGGTCCTGCCCCCTCCACTCCTGACTGCAGACTGTCGGCGGGGGGCGGGGGGCCTGGGGCCCACGTGCCACAAGAGCTCTCCAGTTGACTCAGAAGCATCCCCACAAGTTTGGGACAGCACCCGTCTAAACAGATCAGTGGGATGAGAAATAACACCAGCCTTTCGTTTTCTTATTTTTTTCCCCCTCATGTTCCAAACTGGCTTGAAGAGCTGAGTTTTGGGTTTAGAGACTAAATACAAAAGTAGACAGGCTCTACTTGGAACACACTTTTGCAATCATTAGAAACAAGGGAAGCACAGGCTCGGGAGTGGCCAAAAAAAAAAGAAGAAAGAAAAAGATGAACGGAGTGAGGGCTAGAGTCCCAGGGGCAATCAGGTCCTCTGAGGCCCTGCAGTGAAGTGAAGGGGTGGAAACCTCACACGGCCCGGCCTGGGAAGGGCCCCGAGTTCCAGAGCACTGCTGTGAAGCTGACGTTGCGTCCCCGACACCCACCTGAAATGACTGGTAGATCTCCATCTGGCTGTCTGAGAGGGCCAGTGTGCTCTGGATCAGGTTCTGGAGCACCAGGAAGTGGATGTCATCCACGCTGAAAGAGACGAGGCAACAGGGCCACGTGAGCCCACAGGCCGCAGGGCACCGCTCATCTTGGGTAGATTCGGTCTCAAAAAAGTTTTGAATCTCACAAAAGTGATACGAATGTCCAAACTAGTCATAAACCAAAACAAAAGAAATGATGGTTTTTATGCCTTACTGATTGGTCCATTTTCACAGGGAAAAAGTTTCAGTCTGGTGGGCAAGGGGTGACATAACCTGGAAACGGGTTTTCATGACAACACGTGTGGTTAGTGCTTAGATTTTCTTTTTGTCTAATTTTAAACAACTGTTTCTCCAACGAGAATAGGCTTTTCATTGAATACAGAGCTAAAAACCAAATTGAATACTGATTATCCAAGATGGAAAGAAAAGGCTGAGGCTTCTTTCTTTTTTTTTTTTTTTACTTTTCGCCGTGCTGCGCAGCGTGTCGGATCTTAGTTTCCCCACCAGGGGTCAAACCGGCGCCCCCCTGCAGTGGCGGTGCGAAGTCTTAACCTCTGGACCACCAGGGAAGTCCCAAGGGAGTTTTTGCTTGGGAAGTTCTTGGGCTAGGAGTTCAAACCCCTTCCCCAACCCGTCCTCAGGCTGGGCCAGTGACAGGCGGGGTGAGGGGCCTCTCCCCGCACAGGGCCTAATAATAAATAATTTAGTCTCTTTGGGCCCAGCGGTCTCTGTTGCAGCCACTCAACCCTGCCGTGAGAGCGTGAAAGCAGTGCAGACTACACGTGCAATGGGTGTGGCTGTGTTCCAATGACACTTTATTTCCAGAAACCGGCACCAGGCTAGATTCGGCCCTAGATGATCCTGTGCTAGGCAGCGGACAACCCAGTCAAGCGGCCTAGGAAAGGCACTGGGTCCGTCAGTACTTGCCTATTAAGTTCATCCTCTTTCCTGACTTGGTCTTTTTCATCTCCAATCATCAAAACTCGGTATCTGCATAGGAAACAGAAGAACTTGTGAACGGAGCCCAACTGACCTTCCATAGCCAAGGGGGTGCTCGCGGGAGGTGGCTACTGACTGGCTAACATGGCGGAAAAAACAGTAAAGTCCCTAAAACTGAAACATGTACATGTTAATTAAAATGAGAAAACACCACGTTCTGCCCATCGAATTGAGCGTGTTGCAAGAATGAGGGTTGAGGAAATGAGGAATGTTCGTTCACTGACCATTTTGAGGCAACAAGGAGACGTGAACTCACAGGGAGCGACTGTTAAGTGTTACCGGAGGACAGACAGCTGTGGGTTCGCCATGATGAAGAACAAGCATAAGGAAGAAGGTGGCGAGAAAACGCCCCACGGGGCATAGCTGTATCACGTGATGGGATTACAGGTTAACCCCCGGTCTACTTTTCTGAGCTCCAAGTAATATTGTTTTATTGTGTTCATACCAAGCAAATAAATATAGAAGTAAATCACAGAACTCTACAAAACAACATGGTCACCTATTTGAGACATTTCTTTGGTTTCTACAAAACTAAAGTCAAAACTCATCTTTGCAATCGTAAATGCTTCCTAAAATTTAGGAACAAGACAAAGCACCTTTTCAGAAAAACGTGACCTGATTTTGGTCAAACAAGAAAATATTTGGAACCATCTTCTTTTTTGCTTTGCCTGCCTGAATGCTCAAGATCAAATTCAGTGGTAAACTGTTACAGCTGGAACTTTTTTCTTTCCTCTAGATGGGTCATGAACTCTTATTTCAAACTCTTAAACGTCTCCTTTCATAACTAAAAGTTGCCCCACAAATTTATTGAAAATATGTGGGGACAGAAATTATACATAGGTAAACAGGCCACTTGAAACATCTTTAAGACTGAAGAGAAACCATGCCGCTTGTGGGTTCTGGGGAAGAGTTTGTGGCAAAGGCAAGATCTGTAAATGACTACAAATCGCTCCTTGGCCCTGGCACACGGTGGGCACGACATCAACTATTTGTTGGGTGAATGTAAGGACGAGATCCCCAACGGAAACGCAGACGGCTCACTGAAAAGGTACCACACAGTTCACAGTGGGACCTGATGGATGGACGTTGTCTCTACAGGAAGAAATGTGGAAATACAGTGGCGAGAGTGACTATCCTAATGAGGATGGTGAAGAGGAGGGATTCACGTTTAGATTAAGCAGCGGAAATAGGTCTGGTTCACAGCACTCAAGATTTTCAAGTTTCACAGGTCTGGGCTCAAACCCAAGCATGTTCTTTTCCAGATGCCCAGTGGCTGAGCTGGAAAGAGCAGGGGCTCTGGGGTCAGACCTACCTAAGTTCAAATCCTGGCCTGGGGCTCACTAGCACTGTGACCTTGGGAAGTTAAGTACACCTCAGAGTTTCCTCGTGCTTAAAATGAGCAATCATAGCAAAAGGACTCAAATACTTGAGCAAGCCAGAATTAAGTCAGAGCAGGGCCTTCCTGTAATGGAAGGGAGTACTTGGTGGGGCGCGAGGGATGGCAGTGCCTCCCATTTTCAAGTCGCCCAGGAGAGGAGACGAGGGCACCCAAAGTCAAGGGTAATGCAGGGTTCGCTGCAAAGTCAAGTGGAACGGCTGGTGGGGGACACACCCGTGGCGGTCCTGGCCGGTGACTTTTCCTCTTGCCCCAAAGTTCACACAGAACCTTCCCAAGGGAACCTTACCTGGCAAACAGCTCCTTGAGTGTGTCTGGGATTTCAAGGTTAGGATTCCTTAGGGCTGAACTGAACTTCTCTTTAAGCTTCTCCACAAATTCTTTAAACTCGCTGGCACAAACCTTTCAACATGAGAGAATGAGATGTTAAGCCCTTTTTCTCCCTGAATGGAGGTTTCACCAAGACACATTGAGGGAAAATCTTGTAGCAAACTCCCTCGGCAGCGACCTCCCAGAGACATTGACAGAAACACTGTCTCCTGTGCCCTCCTGCCTCCCCAGCCCCCCGGGAAGGTGACAGGTGCTCACCACTTCACTCGGAGATGGAGAGCCTTACACCGGCGCCGCCAGCACTCTCCCCCAAGCCCCAGATGGGAGCCCCGAACATGTCCTGTGCAGTCTCCTCCAATCAGCAGGCCTGTGTCCCCTTGTCGCCTCCCTCCCCCCAGGTCTGTCCCTCTGTGACGCACCTGTGCAAGTCGGCCTCCACCGCCACGCTCAACCTTGAACCCCTCCTCCTCTGTACCCAACCTGCGACCATCCCAGTGCAGACCTGGATCACAGCGTGGTCCCTCACTGCCTCGCCACCCCCAGGCTCACACCTCCAACTCATCCTCCATGGTATGGCCGGCAAACCGACCCCGTCACCCTGTCACCCGGTGTCCAGCACTACAGGACAAGTTCACACTCCTCTCTGACGCCTCTCGCTGCCGTCCTCCCATGGGGCATCTCGCCCCCCTTCCTCCTCTGCCTTTCCTCGGCTGGTCCCTCATCTCTGCAGTCTGGGCTCAGTGCTGACACATCTGAAAAGCCCTCTGCAGTAGACGCCGTTGGTCGCCTACTTCCTTTATCCCGTTCTTTCTTAGCAGTGGAGCCAGCCCCAATTTGGTGTGGGGAGACAGCCTGCCCAGCTTCCCGAGGTGAGTCAGGACGGATCTTCTGGGAAAGGCTGTCCCCTCCCTGGTACAAGGGCCCTCTCCCCACTTCTTCTTGCCCTGGGATTCTGTTGTGAGGACCGAGCTCCAGCAGTTACCTGGCAGCCATGAGGTGACCAGCATGAGGATGGAAAGCTGACCACCAGGGATGGGGATGGAGTGACAGGATAAAGCTGGGACCCTGAGGACATCTCTGCTTTGCTGCACCTGCATAGGATGGCCTACTTCCAGGCTGCTTGGCACATGGGGGAAAAAAAGCCTTAAGCCCCTGTGATGTTTTTTTTTCCATCACCTGCATCAAAAGCACTCCTAATTCTCCCTCTGAGGCCTCAGCGGCCCGTGCTTTCCTCTCTCAGGGTGGCTGCACTGTTCTGCGGTCCGCATTTACTTCTCTGCCCGCCCCACTGCCCTGTGGCTCCATTTCAGCTGGTCTCGCCTGGCGCAAGGCCGGACATACACACAGCGGAGTCCGGTGTTAGCTCAATGAGTGAGGGGTGAGCAGACTCTGAGCCACAGAGCAGAGAAGCCTGGGTCTGGAAAGACAGCTTCCTTCCTTGTCAATCACCGTCCCGGCCCCACCCACAGAAAACTCAGAAAGAAAACTCATGGCCGGGCTTCCCTGGTGGCACAGTGGTTAAGAGTCTGCCTGCCAATGCAGGGGACAAGGGTTCGAGCCCTGGTCCGGGAAGATCCCACATGCCGCGGAGCAACTAAGCCCGTGCGCCACAACGACTGAGCCCACGTGCCACAACTACTGAAGCCCGCGCGCCTAGAGCCCATGCTCCACAACAAGAGAAACCACCACAATGAGAAGCCCGCACACCGCAACGAAGAGTAGCCCCTGCTCGCCACAACTAGAGAAAGCCTGCGCACAGCAACAAGGACCCAACGCAGCCAAAAATAAAAATAAAATTTCAAATTAAAAAACAGGGCTTCCCTGGTGGCGCAGTGGTTGAGAGTCCGCCTGCCGATGCAGGAGACGTGGGTTCGTGCCCCGGTACGGGAAAATCCCACATGCCGCCGAGCGACTGGGCCCGCGAGCCATGGCCGCTGAGCCTGCGCATCCGGAGCCTGTGCTCCGCAACGGGAGAGACCACAACAGTGAGAGGCCGGCGTACCGAAAAAAAAAAAAAAAAAAAAAAAAAAAAAACAACAACAACAACAAAAAAACTCATGGCCTATCCACGAGCTTTCCAGAAGTCTAGCTGTTTGTAATTTCTGAAGAGCAACCCTATTTTCTTAATAAAATAGACCCAAGACACAGCAGCGTTGCAAAGAGACACGGCAAATTCTAATCATCTTTAAAACTGATGCTGGACCCAGATCAAGTGAGGGCCACAGCCAAAGAACTGACAAGTCAATTTCCCAAATGAGCAGGGGGAAAGCCCATGTTTGCAAGGCTGGCAGAGGCACCGTGGGACCCAGAGGACCAGACTAGAACCTAGAAATCTCTGCCTTCAGGGCAGGCTGAGCCCGACCACCACACGGGGCCCACCTTTGGGTCTCCGTAGTCGCATTTTCGATTCATGAAATCTCCAACCAGCGCCTTATCCTGGTACACCTCGGCGAGGCAAACCCTGTGGGGAGAGCAGGCCACAGTGAGGTCTGGGCAATGTAACGATGCCCACGTTCAGAACCACCGGAGGATTTCTGTCCTAACAGTTCTGGCCTTGGGTAAACACGAAGTATGATCTGCTTAGGTGCCTGCTGGGTGATTATAGCTTTTGAAAATGAAGGATTTGGGGTCGGCCTGTCTGTGCTCACGCTTCACATCTCAACTTCTCTGCGCTTCTGTCCTCCACGTGCAAACTGAGAACAGTAGCTTCCACCCGCCTGCCCTCATGGGGATTTGGCCAGGACCACAGGAGAGACCTATGTCCAAGAGGATCTTATATTTAAAAACAGGCCCTGGTGTTTGGTATTAAGCGCTCCAGCCTCCTCCAGCACTCTGTCCATTGCACACATCTTCACACCTCCAGGCACCAAAAAAGCCTGACCCGCCCAAAGGGAAACGGAGGGAAAGACAACCAGCGTTTGCTGGGTTCCTAGGAGCTGCGCACTTTGAAAGCTGAAGCTGCTCCTTCATAAAGAGCTTGCAAGGTAGAGACTGTCATTCCACTTCACAGCTCAGTGAGGTGTAAGGTCTGCCCCTGCCCCCGAGGTCACACAGAAGCCAAGGGCCAGGGCAGGTGGGACAGGTGTGGTTACTATTGGTATCGTTCTGCTCACAGCCTCTAAGGGGATAAATGCCCCGTCCCAGGTCCCACAGCTCTGAGCTGCAGTGGACGGAGACCTGGCCTGCGCACCCTGCAGCCCCCTTCACGTCCCCCTTCCCCGGCTGCTGCAGGACAAGAGGAAGAGCGTCAGGCAGGGGCCAGGAAACCCAACTTCCAGATCTCACTTCACTGCCAGCTCACTGTCACCCCAGCCAACTTGCATGCTGTCTCTGGGCCTGTTTCCACTCTGCAAAAAGGAGGACTTTGGACCAGGTGATCAGAGCCCTTTCAGACAAAACATTCTAAGAGTCTTCCATGCACTGGGGAAGTGGCTTCACACAGAAAGGCCCCTTGGTGTGTCTAACCCAGTGGTTCTCGTCGGGGCGATCTGCTCCCCCGGGGGGGGGGGGGGGGGGAGACATTTTTTGTTTGTACAGGTTGGGGGGGGGGGGGGGGGGGGGGGGGGGGGTGGGGGTGGTGGTGGGTGTGGGCAGGTTGCCACTGGCACCTCGGGGGTGGAGGCAGGGAGGCTGCTGAACACCCCACAGTGCCCAGGACACCCCCCAACAGAGAATGAGCCGCCCCACATGTCAGCAGCGCCGAGACTGAGAAGCCTGGGCAGAGGGGCTGAGTCTCCTCTGCAATCCAGGGCTGGGCTGCTTTCCTTGCAATCTGGCTGACTGCAGGAAGCGCACGGCTCGGAATCAACCTGGAGCCAAGCTCTCCCACTGACCCGTGGCCCGAACATCAGTTGGTGGAAGCAGCTCCGCTTCCCGGCCTCACCCTCATGCTGGCTGCAACACTCGGGTACCCTCCCACACCACCCGCTGGGCTTCCCCACTTGAGCCCATGCCGGCGGCGGGAGGGAGCTGCAGGAGTCTGACGGGGCTGAGGACGGCTTTATACCGTGGCCCTGAGAGAAACAGACGGCGGGCAGCCTCCCTGGCAACTGACGATGGGGGAGGCTTTGCAGCTCCTGGCCAGCTGCCATCCCCTCACGTCTTTAGGGAACGCCCGGCTCTGCTGAGGAAATGGCTGAGTGCATTTGGTCCATTGATCCCGTTCCTGTCTAGCTCCTTTCTGGAGTGAGCCATGTGATGGACCACTAACACGGAGACATCAAGAGCTGCTCTGGAGTGTTGAAACCCTAGTGGAAATGGGCAGAGGCTTCTGCTTTCACCACATGCTACTCGGGTGAGGTGAAGAGGTAGCATTCAGCGCTGTCACCTAGCCTGTTTCTTCACCTGTAACAAAGGAGCACCTGCTTCACAAGCTGTTCTAAAGTGTAAGTAACACCGTGAATGTGAAAGTGCCCAGAATCACACCCAGCCCCCCAAATCAAGGACAATCTCACTAACAGTCTCCAACAGACTACTGACGTGCTACTGGACGACTCAGATTTTATCTATCTGGATTTTACAGCCGACTCTTAAGCAAATGGGATGAAAGAAGTGTAAAGAATGAACTAGAAGCACTGGGATGCCCTCGTCTTGGAGTCATGGAAGTTCAAAGGAGGCTTACTTATAGTTCAGATAGGCTTGTGGATTTTTGACTATGTAGCGAGCTCTTCGTCCGACCGAATGGGATGTTTTATCCAAAGACTCTTCCAAGCTTGAGTGCAGAATGTCCCGCACGACCTGCCAGGGGACAAACGGGCCCTTCACCTGGATTAAACACAAGCCAAGACACAAACTCAGTATCTTCGGAGCCCACAATATGGGTCACTAATGTAAAGGAGGGGGGAATACGTCCTGTGGAACCTCTTTCCTCAGCAGACACTCAATACTGTCACCTCACGCATTTACTCAGTCACATTTACTGGGCACTGACCATGTGCCTGGCCCTGAGAGGGTGCTGGGCAGAGAGGAATAAGACAAATCCTCCAGGTCCAGTGGGAAGAGTATATTTTGGTGACTAGTAGAGGTGCTCAGAGGGTGCTTGGGTAATACTGACTGGAGGGCACTGCGCCACAGGAGGTCAGGAGTATAGAAGATGCATTTCATTAGACGGTTGTAGAGGTTTAAGTACCCATCGTGTACACTCAAGAACGCTCTGTGTACGGCGCCTGTGGTTACACTAGTGGAAATGGAACGTGCTGAGTCACAGACTCAGGAGACCCTCTCAGTGAACACATGCAGGAAGGCACAGCCCAGGTAAGGAAGGGGCTTGATGACAGGGTTTTTTTTTAGCGCCCCAGCAGGAGTGGGCCCAGGAATCTGGTGTAAGTTGAAGCGAATGAGTGGAGGGTCCGTGCAAGGCTCTCCTGGCTCCCCTGGCTGCGTGGAGGGCGGGGGGTGGAGGGCGGGGGAGAGGCCTCTCCCATCAGTGCTGTGATGAGACAAGGCCAGGTATTAGGGACAGCAACACGCCTTCGGGTTCCTCCTGGCAGAAGGGATTGGGTGGGGATTTAGGAAGGGGTGGAGGGATAAGAAAATCTGGGGCAATAATAATAAAGAAAAGGGATTTAATGAGCTTGCAGGCAGGGTGTCAGACCTCTCAGTGGGTTTCTCTTGGCTGGTATGGCTGAGAACAGGAAACACAAACGGGGCTCCTATGAAGCCTCCTCACCTACTCTGCGTGGCGGTATTACTGCCTGGAAGGGGCCCTGGACGGGACACTGGCAGAGCCCACGCTCCGGGTGGCTTCTGGGAACCAGCCTGATGGGACATTCGCCTCGGCATGGCATGGGAGGCGGGGAGTGAAGCTGGGGACAGCCACTGTCCCACGCTGACTTGGTCCGCACGGACAGAGGGATTACTGCATGGGAGGCACCACGCGAGGGGCTGCAGCTACAAAAACAAGTAAGAAGTCTCTCTGCCTCTAGAAGCAGCCACTCCAGTGGGCTAAGAGGCGCCAGAAGCCAAAGGAGCAGCGTGAAATGTACGCGTCCAAGGGGCAGAGCGAGAACGCAGTAACTACTTCCCTTTGGCAGGATCAGGGAAGCCTTTCCAGAGATGATAAGCGGTTACTGAAAGATAAATAGGAGTTTTCCAGGCAGATGAGGGTGGGAGGCGGGGAGCAGGGAAGGGTCAGATTCCTGGTGAAGAGCGAGGGAGAGCACAGCTCTCAGCCGTGTGGCCTGCAGCCAGGCAAAGACATAGATGCGTGAGCCGAAGCCAGGAAACAGACGTGCAAAAATAAGCATGGCGGGCGCGCAGATAACTATGAAGAACCTGCTGTATAGCACAGGGAACCTCTATCAGTACCTTCGAATGACCTAAATGGGAAAAGAATCTAAAAAAGAGTGGATCTATGTATATGTGTAACAGATTAATTTTGCTATACACCTGACACTAACGCAACACTGTAAATCAACTATACCCCAATAAAATTAAAACAAAACAAAAGAAGAAAACGAGCGTGGTATCCATTGCTAGATTCTGGGAAATGCTTCTCCCAGTGGCCAAGTGGAGTAGATGGGATGGATGAGAGGTCCAGGCATGAGCTTCCCTATGTGGGTCCCATAACGAGAGGGACTCGCAAATCAGCGGGCTAGAGGCTGGGAGGGGGCGGGGGCGCTGGGCCGGGTACCTTGGTGTTGAGGACGTTGCTGGCAATCCGGCAGAGCACGAGCAGCCCGTCCTCCTGCATGGACCAGGTGACGCGCAGCCGGGTCATCCTCTGCAGGGCGCTCTGGTCGGCCTCGTCGTGGTATCGCAGCCTTTTGCTTTTTTCTTCCGGGAGCTCTTCTAAGAGGGGAAGAGGAGAAGGGGCCTCTAATAACCAGTTTGGAGCTCTCACTGTGGAGAGGGGAAGGGTCCCTACCCAGCAGGTCAGACTGCACCAAGGTACTGGTTATCAGAATCTCATCGTGCGGGGAGTCATGTAAACTAATCACAAAAGACTCAGCCCATCCCGACAAGATTTTTTTTTACCCCTTTCATCATTTCTCTTTGGTCACATTTCATGGCGATGGGCTGGGCAGCCTGATGCAGCCTCTTGTTAGTTATCTGCCCATCTCTGATCCTTCCCTTGGAGGCACTGAGCCCTTTGAAAGCACCTCGCACAGAAGCCGAGGGAGCCTGCTTGGGGTGCGCTCTCTGGACAAGTGGGTCCCCACCATTCCCTCTTCTGCGACCTCAGAGATGCTGTGCAAACTCTGGCGCAGCGTGGGGACAACAAGGCCCACTCTACGGGGCTGCCTTGAGGAGTGAACGAGACTGGGTATAAAACACCTCGCGCAGCGCCTGGCACAAGGTAGCTACTACCTAAATAATAACAATCACTGACATTACGGAATGTTTACTAGGTGCCAAACACTGGAGTAAGCTTTTTACGTACATCCACTTATAATTAAAAATAATACTTGGCAACAACCCTATGAGAAGGATACAATTATTATCCCCATTTGGCGGCTGAGGAATCTGAAACACAGAGAGATACAGCACCTTGCCCAAAGTCAGAGCCTAGTAAGCAGCAGACAGGACTGGAACCTGGAGCTCTCAACCACTGGGTTTCCCAAAGTTACTTCCCCTCGGGGAGTCGCTGGTGGTAGTTTCACAGGCAGACGCCATATGCTACCATGTGCTACTGCCAATTCCCAAAGACTGTTTGTTTAGTGAGTGTCTTCCAAATGAGGGCAGGAGAAAAGTGGGCAAGAGCATTTAGATTCAAATCGACACCACCACGTATTTTGCCTTGTAATGAATTCAGGTCTTTGTGGGCCAAATTGATCTTATGCATATGTGGACAGGCTAAACAGAGGAGGCTGTTTCAGCTGACGTGAGCCTATTTGTTTTGAGCACCAGCAGGATAAACCACTAAAAACAGGTTCCTGTTAAAATATTCTGTTCTCAGCTGGAATAGCTACAGCTATCAGACCACTGTTGAAACACGCACACCACTGAGGTGATACAAAGGTGGGCTAAAACCTGCACACTGGCCTCCTCGCTGCCCTCCTTCGCTGTAAATACCGCCCAAATGAAGACTCCAAAAGGGCAATCTATAAGGCACCGCGCACGATGGGTTCACGAGATCTGGAGAGATCCTGCAGGCTTAAGTGACACCCATGTTGCCTCTGATTTAAAAACACAACATAACTTTAAACTTTGCCCTGATTAGCACAGATGCAGATATTAAAAAGCAAACCAAAAGAATAATAGGATTTGGGCTGGTTGTGATGAGGACTTTGCTATGGATTTTTTGCCAAGGTTTTTTTTTCCCAGTTGAGAAGAAATCAGAAATTTGAACTGAGGGAGTTACTAAGTGAAAAGGTTCTACACAATGCAGAGACAGAGAAAGCAGGGGGAAGTAGAGTCAGTTCGAGGCCCTCTCGGTCAGCAGGCTGGGTGTGGGAAATAAAACGCGATCACGCAGAGTTAGTGCTCCACATTTAAGGAGACGGAACCCAAGTCTGAAGGCAGAGCTCAGGCTGGGCTGCGGGGAGGATGCTGTCCATCCCCAGCCAGACCGTACATGCAAAGGCAAGCCTGGCAAACACGAACGAGCATCCCGAAACCTTTTTTCTTTCTCTTGATCTTCTTCCCAGGGTCCTTCTTCAGCCGTTTGCGCTTCTGGCTTTTCCCACCCCTCACTTTCTGGTTCCTGTCCAGCGTGGGCTCTCGGCCAACCTCAAAGTGTTCTTCTCTGTCAGCACAGAGCCCCGATCCCGCTCGCGCTTCTCCCCAGACAGTCAGCCTGCCGTTGCCTGGGAATAAGCACAGGACACCGCCGCTGCAGAATGACCTCTGCAAAGGCCAGAAGCCAAAGCCAATGTGCAGCGATCATGTCGGCCCGAGACAGTCCCACGTCTATTTCTGCTGAACTCCTGGCCCACGTACCTCCAGCGCCAAGAGGCAACGGGCGCTTGGACAGAAACGTCTGCAGCCTCACCGTGAGCCCGTTCTCCGACGCGGTGGTCTCCTAAAAGACGAGGGTGGCACCGGATAAAGTGTGAGCTTTCATGGACCCCGGGGAGCCCAGGGCAGCCACAGCGCTGAGTTGCACGAGTCTCTGACGAAGAGGCTGTGCGGGGACTGCCACCCTCCTATCACACACGAACCCCCTCCCCGTGTGACCTTTGTCTTACAGACTTTCTGTTCTTTGTTTTAAAAAGGAATATTTGTCCACATTGCAGAATAAATCAGAATCCATTGGGGGAAGAAAAAAAAAGGCCAGGCAGACATTTAAGGGGCCTGACATGCCTTTAGTATATATGGAAGTAATTATTTGTGTCTCTGGTCAGTTTTGGTTTGGCCAGTTCAAAATCTGTGAGCCAGGAAAGGGACACGCAGGTGAGTAGCAACGGCAGCCCCCCGGGTTGGGGCCCGGGGATGGATGCCCCCGTCCTGAAAGCCCACCTTTTTGGCCTTGTCGATGATGTAGCTGGTCCAGATCCAGTTTCGCTTTAGGTGTCCGTAGAAACTGGAATCGAGCCCAGCGGCTCCCAGCCCATCTCCGGGGATAAAGCCTTCATCCACGACCTCACGGCTGCCCCTGGGAGATGGAAATAAACAGAAAACAAGCCCTCCTTGGGAAGTGAAAAGAGAGCTCATGGAGTGGGCAGGGGGCATTTATTATTAACTGTTACCTTCCCAGAAAAACACCTGGCAGGTGGAAGTAAAGGGCTTGTCAGAAACCCAGACTGTTATGTAAAATTCCCAATTTCTGCACCCACGGCCACCAACTTGCAGCCTTGGCACCAGAGACTCAGGCTTCCGGGCCTGATGGCGAAGCCCGATGGGGGGCGGGCCAGAGCCTGCAGGACCAGGACCCCCGCGGCTCTGCGTGTGGGGGCGGGGCGGGGCGGGGACGCACGCGGTATACTCCATCATGGCACACTTGCGCTCCAGCGTGTGCTTGTCCATGGCGCTCTCCTGCTCCTTCTGCAGACTGCCCTCCTCATCGCTGCCCTGATCTGGGCCGCTGTTCTTCCGGATGCGCGGGCAGCGCACCACGCCTAGGAAACCAGACACAAGCCCCGCTGAGGACACCTTCCTGCCACGGTCTGCTGGCCACGGCCTGCCGCGGGGTGGCAAGAGAAGACTGGCTTCCCTTTCTGTGACCAGGCTCCCCACCAGGGGAGAGGGTCTGAAACTGGTGGACCTCCTTGCACAAAATGCAGAAGGCAGAGAGTTAAAGCTGGTCGTGAACCTGAGAAAAGGGTCTGCGTGCAGCCTGTACTCTATTAAGACGGCAAGGCGAGCAGGCAACCAGAGAAAGCCCACGCCTTCTTCCTTCCAGGGGGATGCCCCGGGGAGTTGTGTGTCGCACAGAGGAAGTGATGAGTGAAAACGGCTGCTCACGGTGGTGGCTGCCAGGGTCGGGCTGGTGGGGATCTAGACAGTGCGAGGCAGCGTCACAGTCTCCCTGGGCGCACTGGGCTCCAGGAACAGCCAGGCGTTTCCTGAGTGCCCGAGAGGTGCATTAATTTAGTTGGGAAATTACATTCAGTGATTCCACAATAAAGCATCTCTTGCAAGGAAATATAAAATACGATTAAATCCGTTGCTTGAAAACAACAAAACAAACAAACAAAAAAACTGTTGCTTGTGTCAGGCCAGGGAAGGCTATGATAATTTGCAGACTACCGAAGAGCCTCTCATAACATGGTCAGTGGGGAGAGTCCATGCCCTGCACCTCCCAGCTGGAGCTTTACGTGAGATGTCTGGTTCAAGCTTCACCTCAGCCCCACAAGGCAGTGGTGGTGCTCCCAGATTAGAAATGAAGAAACTGAGGCTCAGGAGGTTACAGAGAGCTCACCCAAGGTCACGCGTCTGAATGGACCTTGAACCTAAGAGGACTTCAGGCGATGCTTCACCTTGCACCACCAAGCTGCCTGTGGGAGACGCAGATTCAGGTCCTCCCCAGGGCTGCTGAGTCCAAATCCCTGGACCGCGCCCAGTAATCCGCATTTCAACGGGTTCCCCAGGTGCTGCCTGTGTGCACTCATGCTCTGGGAGCCTCACTTTAAAGGATCCTCACGTCTCATTATTGATGGGGCAGAACCCCCTCAAATGTCTGTTGAATGAAGGGACAATCAATGCCTGATTAACGGACTCAATAAGCCCCCCGACATTTCGGCTCACGAATATGGGAAGGGATGGAAATTCACCAGTGGTCAAGCCTGAAAAACTCTGGTGCAAATAACATACTGGTTCGCAAATTTTTATCTAGGTATAAAATGCAGGGGAGTTAGGGCACTTTAAAATCTGCCCTGATAAAAGCCTAGCTCACTGCTGATGCCAGAGGATTCTACAAAACACTGATTCTAAAATTTGTCTGGACCCATTCAAGTACCTCTACGAGCGCTCATTAGCGTATGGGCATTAAACAGTTCTACCCAATAAACATGTGGCCCCCGCTCTGCAAAAATCAAAGTGTAACCTTGATCTTCCAGCTCTGTGACAGAAGGAAGAGAGGGAGTCCTCTCCCGGGTGCAGATGCAATGTGGCGTCCTTTTCCTCCTGGGACAGGTGGCAAGAACGGAACTGATGAAAACTGGCTTAGAGGAAAGAGCACAAGACTGGAGGTTCTAACGCCTTCTACAAACCCTCCATTCATTCCACAAACATTTACGGGATGTCACCTATGTACCAGGCACTCTGAGACACGCTGGGGATACAAGCCAAATTCCCTGTACTCAAGGAATTCCCAGAATGACATCAGATGACAGTAAAGATGCTGGAAAGGCTTTCTCGGAGAGAGAATGCTTGAAGTAGGAGTGGCCGTCTGCAAGGTGAACATAGGTCGGGATGTTCCAGAGAGAGAAGAAAAAACAAGCCAAGGCTTAACTCAAAGCCCAAGTCATCTGACCCACTGGACAGTCTGGTCAGTCCCTCCTCCTAAAGACCTCCCAGCCTGTCCTCTGTCCTTCACTATCACCAGCGGACCTCTCCTGGACCTGAATCACAGCCCCTAGCTGGTCTCCCTGCTTCCACTCTGGTGCCTCTCAGTCTGTTCTCCACCCAGCAGCCAGGGCAACTCTGAAAGACCTGAGATCTTGGCTTACAACCTCCAATGGCTTCTCGCTGCTCTTAGAACAAACTTGAACTCTCCCTGTGTCCTGCAAGGCCCCAGAGTCTGCTTCCTGCCTGCTTCTCCATCTCATCAGCTACCACTCCCCTCCCACGCACACCAGCCTCTTCTGTTTCTCCATCAACACTCGGGGCCGTTGCACCTGCCTGGGATGCCCCTCGTCAGCTCTGGTCACGGCGGGCTCGGCCTCACCCTTTAGAACTCAGCTCAAAGTCTCCTCCTCAGAAAGGCTGCTCCTGACCAGCCCAGTAAAACACCCTCGATTCATCACCCAGTGTGTTTCCTCCCCAGCTCTTATCACACTCTGGATCTCTGTGTGCTGTGTCTTCGCCAAGACAGCATAAGTCCTGTTGCTGTGTGATCGGGCGCAGGAAAAGACACACACAAGGTGTTCAATAAATACCCACTGAAGGAGCAAAAGAATAAAGACAAAAGCGAAGCTGCGTGGGCTCAATGGGGTGGAGGGCTAGTGGCCCTCCCAGGTAAGGCCCACCACTGCCCTTTCTAAGGGAGCTTCCAGGACACTCCAGGCCTCTGGGGGACAGTCGGAAAACCAGCAGGTGGCTTCCAGTCTCTTCTAGCTCTAACTCCCGCTATCCCACAGAAAGGAGGGAAAACAGCGAGCCCAGTAAAGATGGATGGTACCTAGCGGGGTGTTGAGGCAGACACACTGCAGATCGAACCAATAGTTCTCCACGTCCTGCATTGAGTTCAGGACGTAGAGACGCCTCTCGAAGGGCCGGCTGCTGTGGGCCAGGTTGTAATGGGGGTCACAGGTGGTGGTGTCCACGATGACCACGTTCTTCTTCAAGAAGATAAAGACCTACGAGGGAGACACCAGATGGGGTGAGGGGAGAGCCTCAGCCTCAGCACCGGGTGAGGTGTCTGGAAACTGCGCTTAGCCATCAGGACCACCTTCATCTGGGTCTGGAGGCTGTTACCTGATCTTTATCCTGAAACTTCTCTGTGGGCCCGAACTGGAGCAGCCCCATGTAGCACAGCTTCTGAAGGTTCTCCACCACCGAGAAAATGTAACGTCTGGAAAACAGAGGGGGGTGGCGGGTTCTCAGCTGCCGTCAGGGGGTCTGCACGGGGGTGAGGGATGTGACTTGCTTCTTCTCCTCTCTTCGACCTGTGGGACCTTGAGGACGGGCCTCGGGCCTGAACTGTGCTGAGACCCAGAACTCTCATCCCAACACCAACCAGGGCAACGGGGCATTGATCCTACTTGGGGGGCCTGAGTTCGAAAGTAGAAGTAATAAAAGGAAAGACCCACCTCATTACCTGCAGTCTTTATCAGCAGATTTTACTTTAAAAGAACCTTGAAAGCAAGTACTAAAAAGTCCCAGCCCACACTGCATTTGCCTCTGTGCTTTATGTAGAAGGCACAGGTGGCTGAATTAATGACCTTGGGTCGCTACAACCTGGCAGGCAGAAACCTTTCCTCTTCCTGGTCAACGATTACTCAGAAGCGTAACTCCAAGGGGCCTACCAGGACCCTCGGCCGCCCTGAGTCGGCTGCAGGGACCTCACCTCTTGTACAGAAGCTGTTGCCGGATGGGCCTGGGGAGAAAGCGGATCAGCGTGTGCTTCTTCAGAGGGTCGTTCAGAAACTCCTCGAGGTTGTCCACCTGAGAGGTGATTTTCAGGCTCAGCTCACCCTCAAGGACAGGGTGAATTGCAAGAATTGTGAAAAAAACACCACTACTTTCCAGGCTGTGGTCTCGCTGAATCTGGCCATCCGTCCCACGGGAAGAGAGCCCCCTCTTGCCTGTCACTCCAAACCCCCCACATTTCTCAGTCCTGACGCCCCTCCCCTCCAACCCATCCGCCACACTTCCGGGTACAGGAAACAGGTGGCCTCATTCCCTGCTGGTGGGCATGCAAAGTACTAAAACATTTCTGGGGGACAATAGGGGAATATATTTATTCATATTTTAAAAATTTAAAAAGGATGAAGGATGCTTATTGCCTTCAAAGCCAGGGATTCCACTTCTATCCTTAGCCCAAGATGAAAAATTTTGGAGCTGCCCACAAATACATCTGACAAAAAGTATTCATCAACATGTCACTACACCACCAGGAAACTGGAGCTTAAATGTCCAAAAATAGAGTAGTGGTTAAAATACATTAGGGTACATGCATAAGAAGGAATACTATGGATTTACTTAATATCAAGGTAAAGCGACGATGTGGGAAATACAATACATTGTTCGGTGGAAAGAACAGATCATAAAAGAGTGAATACAGTATGGTCTCAATTCAGTTTTTTTTAAAAAGGAAGACCTCACATATATACACATGCATTACATACAAACATGGCACAGGAAGAAAAAGACTAGAAGAAAATGCACCAAAAACACTAGCAGTGATACCTCTGAGTGATGAAGTTATAGCATTTCTATGGTAATTTCTATTTCTTCCTTTTTCTGTATTTACCAAATTTGTAAAAATATATTTTATTGCTATACCATAATTGTCTGTCTTTTGACTGATCTAGAAGAACAAGTCTTTGAAATATTTCCCTTGACTCACCATCTATCCATCCATCCACCTAATCTATTCTGTCTGCCTTTCTCTTTCTTTCTTTCTTTGTCTATCTATCTATCTATCTAGCGAGCCTATCTATCTATCTACCTATCTAGCCTCTCTCTCTCTATCTATCTACCTACCTACCTATCTATCTATTGAGCCACCCAGGCAGCCAGCCAGCCAGGCAACTGCAAGCATTTTCTCTTGACAGGTGAGTGCAGGCCCTCTGGTATGGAGCTGAGGGACCAGCCCCTGAGAAAGCCTGGGAGTCATCAGTACCTTGTAGCTGACTTGCACAATCTGGGTGAAGATGGAGAGGGGCAGGCAGAGAAGAATGTCACTGACCAGAGCCCAGCCGAAGCCAAAGTCCTTGTGGACTGGGACGGGAGGGATGTAGCGCGTCCACGAGGCTTCATCCACGTACACTGGGAGAAAACAGGGGTCAGTCCTGAGACAGGGTCCCCGGTCATGATGCTGGTATCGCCTCCCAGTAGGTCTTGGTTCCCTCTCACCACGAACTAGGGCAACACCCTCCTTGTCAGGCAGGAAGCCCGGAGGCTCAGGACGCTTGGATTATGTCTTTGTTTGGATCAGGGCAATAGGGGACTCAGCCGGTTCAGGTCCTAAGGACAAGGAACCACCATGACTCCCCTCTGGACCCCACTGGGGCCTGCCTGCCCAGGGCATCTCACCGGTCTCCGTGGAGAGCTCCACTTCACCCTCCCGGGTGGCTCCATCCTGGGTGTCCTGGGGTGGGGCGTCCAAGGAGGCCTCCAAGTTGCTCCCGGAGGAGGATGGGGCTCCCGTCCTCCTTTCGCTGCTGAAGCCCGGCTTCTCCACCGTGTCCTTGGCAGGGTGCCCATAGATCAGGTACCACAGAAACATGTGGATCACCCGCAGGCGAGGCATTTTGGGCAGAAACCCTAGAGAACGCCCAAGTCCAGGAACTGGGGCAAGAAAGGAGGGCGATGCTTGAAAATCCCAGATTCAATTGAGTTCAATTCATTCAAAAACTATTGAGTGCCACTGCATCCCAGGGGCCAGGGAGACGGCAAATGTTTTCACCCTCACGGGACTCACTTTCTAGCGGGAAAGGGCAGACAGTAACAAACTACCGAAGACAGTACGTCAGATGGAGAGAGCTGATGCAGAGAATAAAGCAAGGCAGGCAGAGGAGGGCTATAATTCTACAGAGGACTGGAAGGTCTCACTGGGGAGAGGCCTTAAGGGACATCCTCGAGCTGGTGAGGGAGCGGACCATGCAGACACCTGGGCGACATGCCCCCCAGGGCGAATGCAAGAAGCCTGAGACGGGGGTGTGCCTGGCACAATCGAGGAAGGGCCGGTTGGCCCGAGTGACGGGGTGGAGCAAGGAAGGAGGAGTGCGCAGGAGGTGAGCCGGAGTGTAAAAGGGCAGGGGGCCACCACGACAGACCCCAGCAAGAGGACCTGAGGCTGACGGGGACTGTGCAAAACATCCCAGAATCGAGGTTCTTCTAAACAGCTTATTTCTTTGACACAAAGTGCTCCTTGACTTTCCCCAGCGAGAGGAGACAGGTGAGAGCCAAGGGAGGCATAGGAACAGGGTGGCGAGGGCAAGGGACCGCAGGGCCCCTCCTCTGCTGTCAGGCCTGGACCGCGCAAAGAGCTCCCGGCTGCCTCTTGCCCACTCAGGTGCACGTGCTACTCCACTGCGCCGCCTCGTGCGCAGGTTTCTCCCTCCATCTGTACTTTCTAACTGTGACACCTTAAGAGTCTGGGCCAAATCCCTGTGCCCGGAGCCCTCAGCAAGGGAAGTCACACAAATGACCTCCCCTGCTCAGAATCCCCGGGTTGCCGGGTCCCCCACCAGGACGTTTCTGCCTGACAGCAGTCTGTGAGCCGTCACCATCGTCCTCCTCCTCCAGCTGCATGCTGTGACCAGAAACTACAACTACACCTCAACTACGAAGGCCCGGCCGTGGGCACCGGCCCAACACAAGCTGACGTCAGAGCAGCTTGGTGTGGGGTGAGGGGAGAGCGCCCTGTTTGAGATCTGCATCCCAGAAAATTAGATGAATGCTCAAACCCATCAGTGGCTGTAACTACCAGAGGCTTGTGGGCTCAGGAAAGGCAGAGATTTTTCTGTGGTTTACAGAATGTTCCAGCCCAAGGGTATTCAGCAGAAAGAGTTAATCTTCGTGAACAATTCCTCAGGTTGGGACTTGGCATAATTTCACCTGGGCCTCACAACAGCCTTGTGAGGTACTCCGGGCAAGAATCACCCCCATTTTACAGACAGGAAAACTGATGCTGGCACGTGACCAGCCCCCCACGACCCCAGCTGTTGATTCAGACCTGACTCTCTGCCTGCAGCCCAGGGCTCGGATGTGCAACACCAAGTGACTCAGAAGACCAAATGAAACACAAACAGACCCTGACAAGAAGCTGCTTTTTACCTACAACAGGGTGATAGTTTTTCAGCTGGGTTATGCCCATTTTCTCATCAGTCTTCTTCACCCGTCCGCTTTCTACTTTAGAGGAAGCATTCAGCTGAGAGTCTCCTGATCCTCTTGGGCCCCCTTTTCCTTGACTTTCTTCTTCAGCTTCCCCTTGAGGCACTGGAGGCTGGGGCGCTTTAACCCTGAAGTTCAAATATAAGATGTTAGAAAACCAAGGGCTGAGAAAAGACAGGGTCTGTCCTCAAGAATTTGGCCCTGGGGTTTCAAATCAACTGCCTGTAGGGGCCAAACAGGTGATGTAAACGGATTAAATGTGTCGGGGCACTGGACATTTGGGGGTGACCTGGCCAGTGGACCCCCACCTACGGGGCAGCTCCTACCTCACGAGAAGGGCTGCCCAATGTGCTGGGACCGCTGACACTTTCATCAATGCCAGAAATCAGGAATTTGACATGAAATTAACTGGTAACTGATTCAAAGCCCCTGTGGCCAAGGCATGGCAGGCCACACAAACCAACATCTGCGAGCCCAGGCGCCACCTCTAATTTAAACCCAACTGAGAACGTTCTCCCACTGAGCTTTCTGCCAGTCCATTAGGTGGTTTATGAACAAAATGAGAGAAGACCTCAGAAAGGCAACCACAATCGTTCTTATAAACTATGCAAGTCTCACATGTCATAGGGCCTATGACTTAGAGCACTCTGTCCACACTCTATTAGAGAGCATAGAATTAAGAATGTTAGCAGAGGGGAACTCTGCTCATTGTTCTCTAACAGCCCAAATGGGAAAAGAATTTGAACAAGAATAGATACGTGTATAACTTTATACACACACACACACACACACACATACACACACACACACACACGTATAACCTGAAAGTAACAATATTGTTAACCAACTATGCCCCAATATACAATAAAAATTAAAAAAAGAAAAAAAAAGAAGAATGTTAGGATTTTTTTCCTCTTAAAGAATCCAGAAATTGATTCTTTTTGAGGCTAGGGGATCATGAACCATAAACCCCAAACCAGTGACCTCACTGATCTCACAAAAGTATGAATAAAGGGCTTTTGTGGAAACTGCTTCAGGTTGGAACACAAACCGAGGCAGCGTCACTGTGAATCCCCGTGGGAGCTGCCACTTGCCTGTTGGCTGTGCTTGAATTGGACATCCGGAAACGAACCTGCTCGATGGCACTTCTCACGAGAGGGTCGTTCTGGTCCATGGACGGGTGCACCACCAGATCCACCTATGGAGAGAGGTCGGGGGTCCCAAAGGGCTGGGGAGGTGCCAGGGGAGACTTAGTTCCACAACTCGGTTCCCTGGTGGAACCCTGGTTATACCTGCCGTCACTGACATTTCCAAAAGGCAGTTATGAAACAGGAAGTAAAACGCTAAACAGTGTGCCCTTACAGTTTCTGGCATCAAGATCCCTCAAGTGCCCAAGCCAGAAAGCTCAAGTGCCCAAGCCAGAAAGCTCCGCCATCCGTAATGTGCCAGCTGGGCTGTCATGGCCCACTGGTCCCAGCTGCTACCTGAGGGGCTGCTCCCGACACCCCATCCTGCTAGCTGAGCATTTCCCACAGCCGCTCGGGAATCCCGAGGGCTTCCATCTGGAAGAGGTCAGCGGCTTTCATTAATCTCCCCTTGCTGGGAGTGCCATCGGGGGACTCCTGCCAGCTGTGCCTCTAAACAAAGTGACAGAGGATCTAGGGCTGCCTTCTTCGTTTTAGCTGTTCCAAGGTGCTGAGCAGCAGATGGGGGTGTGAGGCCTGGGCCCCAGGAGACAGCAAGGTAAGGTTTTCTAAACAAGTAACTCTGGCCAGCAGGCTTCAATGCCCAAAATGGCCTGAAGAGGGTGGGTCACGGGGGACAGGTGGCCACGCCTGGACAGCGACTCCGAAGGCCACACAAGGCTCCATCTCTTCTGCTCCTCACTTGGGAAATGGAGACCCCTCCCTGCTGCCCTGCCAACTGCTTTCGTGGTTTTGTGAGGTTCAAATGAGATACAGTTAGGTAACACCTCAGAGAATCTATAAGCCAGGAGCAAATACAAAGCATTCCTAGCTCCCCACTTTCCACAGCCAAACGGCTGGGCCAACTTCCCAAGAGTCCGATGGACAGGGCAGGACGCAGGAGCAACGGCAAAAGGCGGGTGCTGGACACAGCAACTCCAGCCAGCATGGCTCCAGCAGATCGGCGGGAGCCAGCCACCAGCGCACGCTCTGGGTGCCAGAGAAACTGAAGCTTACTCTGGAGGCAGAGGTACAATACGGCGGCCCTTCCAGCTGGCAAATGGGCGATGACAGTGGTAACCCCCTGGCAAGAGGCCCCCAGCACTGGGACACTGATCGACCCTCAGTGTTCACCTGGGACACTCACTCCTCATCCCCACCTCTTGCCCACTCCCTCTGGTACCACCGATGGATAGGCGACCAAATAGGCATGGGGGGGGTGCTTCCCTGGTGGCACAGTGGTGGAGAGTCCGCCTGCCGATGCAGGGGATGCGGGTTTGTGCCCCGGTTCGGGAGGATCCCACGTGCCGCGGAGCGGCTGGGCCCGTGAGCCATGGCCGCTGAGCCTGCGCTCCGCAACGGGAGGGGCCACAACAGTGAGAGGCCCGCGTACCACAAAAACAAAAACAAAAACAAATAGGCATGGGGGACACGGCAGATGTCCATATGTCCACATAAACACAGTTTCTCTCCACTCCTAGGCTGGGGGAGATTTCATTCCCCTGCTCTCAGTTACTGCCTGAGGAGGCTGCACGTCGGAAAGACCTGCTCTGTGAACACCAACAGAAATCAGAGGCATTGCTGCTGACCGGCTGGGCTGTTGTCCCCCAGGGAGAGAGGTCAGCACCAGGACCTCCTGCCACGCTCAGGGGGACGAGAGGCAGGCAGCCTGGGGAAGGGAGAGGGGCGATGTCAAGGGGACCCACAGCAGATATAACAACTGATGAGCTGCCCAACTTGGGATGGTAGAAACAGAGCTTTTTAAGTCATTTTCTGGTACTGCTCTATGTCTCTCAAATTTCAAAGGTCTCAAAAAAATAAAATAAAGTAAAAAAGACCAGAAATGACCTTGCCACCTTATTAAGAAAACAAAACATCAAAGCAGAGCTTTCTTAAGGCAGAGATTTAAAACGTAGTCAGAAGAAAGGGCAGGAAATTACAAATGCCTATTCCGCAGCACCATTCCCTTTGGTCCCAATGCCCAGCCGGGTATCTCAAATGACTCTGACCCTGAAAAATTTATGCCTTAGAATATGTGCAAAGCCACTGAGCTGCAGTTGCTATGGGAATGGCCCCAAACTTTAAACTTTACAGAAACAGATACATTGGGAAAGAAGAGATCCACTGTCCTCATTGGACGACCCGGCAGTGCATGCTAATTGAATCGCTGACATCATTTCCTCTGGGATGTGTTGCTGCAGATTTCGGTGGCTAATGTTTTTGCTGCTTAGTCTAAATTTTCCACCTTAATTTATTTATTTTTGGCCGCATTGGGTCTTCGTTGCTGTGCTCGAGCTTTCTCTAGTTTTGGCGAGCGGGGACTACTCTTTGTTGTGGTGCATGGCCTTCTCATTGCGGTGGCTTCTCTTGTTGCAGGGCACAGGCTCTGGGCGCATGGGCTTCAGTAGTTGTGGCTCACGGGCTCTAGAGCACAGGCTCAGTAGTTATGGTGCACGGGCTTAGCTGCTCTGTGGCATGTGGGATCTTCCCGGACCAGGGCTCGAACCCGTGTCCCCTGCATTGGCAGGCGGATTCTTAACCACTGTGCCACCAGGGAAAGCCCCAAATTTTCCACCTTCTAAATGTTGCTTCATTTCTCCCAGTGCTAGTTAGCTGAACCTGGATATGCCTCCATTACCATCCTCTCCTTCAAGGCTGGCTGTGGGGCAGGACACCTGCCTTGGGCTGCACAGGCTGCTCTACAATCCAAGCAGGTTATTCCTCTTTTCTGTTTCCCGCTTCCACAGGAAGTGGAGATAATCCCTGTTGCCCCAGTGAGGAGGCATAATGGGAAATTCCGAACTATCGGCAACAAAGGAACAACCGAGGGACAAGGATGTGGGAAACTGGGTAAGAAAACACCCGGCACGCGCAGTGGTCTGTGTGGTTACCTTCTTCTTGATGCCGTCTTGAATGACTGTCGTCCGATACAGCCTCAGAAGGCCTTCCTCGGACAGGTTCCGCACCAAGCGCACGATGGACTTCTTGCAGCACTTGGTGGACACACCTTCTTGCTTCTCCTGATCCATGATCATCTTCTGAATCCTGCAGCGTCACAGAATAAGCCGTTAATATTCCCAGTCTCACCAGGGAAGGCCTTTCTAGACTCAGGCAACCGACACCTGCCTAATGGGATCCAGCAGAAAGTAGGGGAGAATTAAAGGGTGTTTCACCACTGAAAGGATGACTTCTTAAGATGGCAAAGATCATCTCTCTTTGTGATAAATGAGTTAGCTAAAGACAAGCCACCATTCACAGCAGCTTCACGTTCTGAGCCTTTCACCAGGAACTAAAGAGATTACATGAGTCAAGACAACGATGGTGGAGAAACTGAGCTCCGTGATATAAATCTGTCTTCACTGAGTCTCCATGCTAATTCAACATCCAGCTAAGGAATGTTCCAGTTTACCACCGTTGACACCCTCAGATCTGAAGCTCTTTTGACTCCTCTCCTCACGTATCTTCTCTCTAGATGTTACTGAGTCACTATGGTGATGTTTCTGTATCACTACTCATAGAATGGCAGGTCCAGAAGGGATATTAGGAGCACCTAGCTCCATCTCACCTGCACAGAAGAGGAGGCCCAGGCAGCAGTATCCACAGGCGGTCTCCCCATCCCCTAGTTAGAGAACTCACATCCTTGACTCAAGGGTAAGGCTCCTTCCAATCGAGTGGCTTTGACCTTGGCTGCCCAGAAGCCCAAGGATGCCTCCGAGGACGTGGTGGTAACAGTGGGTTAGAAGGACCAAACCAGGGAGCAGAGCCTCCACTGCACCCTGGACACAGAAGCTCCACATGTGTCCCCCGTTTTTTTTTTCTTTTTAATAGATCTTTATTGGAGTATAACTGCTTCACAATACCGTGTTAGTTTCTGTTGCACAACAAAGCGAATCAGCCACATGCACACACGTGTCCCCATATCCCCTCCCTCCCACCCTCCCTATCCCACCCCTCTAGGTCATCGCAAAGCACTGAGCCGATCTCCCTGTGCTATGCGGCTGCTTCCCAGCAGCCAACTATTTTACATTCGGTAGTGTATATAAGTCGATGCTACTCTCACTTCGCTCCAGCTTCGCCCTCCCACCCCATGTCCTCAAGTCCATTTTCTATGTCTTCCTCTTTATTCCTGTCCTGCCCCTAGGTTCTTCAGAACCGTTTTTTTTTTTTTTTTAGATTCCATGTATATGCGTTAGCATACGGTATTTGTTTTTCTCTTTCTGACTTACTTCACTCTGTTCGACAGACTCTAGGTCCATCCACCTCACTACAAATAACTCAATTTTGTTTCTTTTTATGGCTGAGCAATATTCCATTGTATATAGGTGCCACATCTTCTTTATCCATTCACAGTCCCTTTTGTTTTTGTTTTCATAAAAGATTTCCGTTTGAACAAAAGGCTCCCTGGAGAATTAATAACAATGTTTCTAAGCTGATGCTATTAGCTGCCTCCGTTTCCTCTCACCCCTTCCTGAGCACCAAATTCCTAAAGAAGGAACAAGGCAGATGCACTTTCCCCGTGACCTCTGTTTCCTGCTCCATCATTCTCTCCCTGTCAAGTGTATGGATATTCCTCCATGTCTACACTTTTCAAATCACACAGACTGCAAATCCTTTCTACCACAAAGGGCTCCTATGAGAATCTATACAGCAGAAGAGAGATGCAAATGCCTCTAAGTCATTTCTGTGGATGGTGATTGATGTGGGATTTACTACTAATGCAAGACAGACAGACAGACTACTCCTTACGTGAATAAGCTCTCGATTAAGCGGAGGTTGGTGACAGCCTCTATGATCAGATTCCTGCGTTTCAGCAGTCGGTAAGTCTCATGGGGTTTGTCTTGGCCTGGGCCGTGCTTCCCAGGCTTCTGGGAACTGCCACTCTCCTAGAACAGGGACCAAAAGCATGAGAAAACTATGGACTCAGCAAGGTTTGGGGGCCAGGCAACCACTCCTGCCGGTACGCTTTCCCTCTTTACGGAATTTCTACGCCATATTTCAAGAAGCAAAGTCAAGAGGATTACTGCCCCCATAGGATCCCACTACCCCACTATTTCAGTGCTTTGTAACGGCACAGACATCTGCCAGCAGAGGATCCCAGAACTTTATGAAGATCAGCTGGTTTCAGCACAGAAAGCAGAGGCATCTACTCCAGCCCTTCCCGGGGAAGGGGGCTGCATCCACTCAATCTTTACTTGGTTCTTCCGCAGTGGAAGGGAGGAAATGCACAGACGGAGGGCCGACCCCCTGCCGTCACCCTATGGGGCTTCTTCATCCAGAACTCTCAACCACCTCACTGTTATGGTCCCCATTTTACGCAAGAGGAAACCAGGGCTCAGGCGAAACCACCATACTGGGTCCCGGGGCGTGAACGTGCGCCAGGACGCGCTTCTGCCTCCGCCTCAGGGAAGCCACGGGCAGCCTCTCTGGGAACATTAGGGAGATGCAGAGGCAGGCTTCCGATGCATCAGGATGAGTGGCGAGTGAATGACGGAGAGGAGAGTGGACGGGTGCCCTCCCCCACCCCTTCTGCGACGCCCTCTTCTCTCTTCGTGGTTCTTTTTAGCTTCCAGGAACTTAGAATCTGAACCTGTTCCATCTGCCTTTGGATCAAAGATGCTGAAGCCCAAACGTGCACCCTGAAGGGAAAGGAAATCCCAACCCTAACAAACTCCTGGCCAATCACTCAGCATAATTCAGGGCCACCTTGCGGTCCCATGGCCAGTCTTGCTGGATGCCCTCCTTGCTTGGAGAAGCGCTTCCAGAGAATAAGAACACGCTTGAGGAGGCGCCTTGGGCCGGGGTCCCATCACTTCCCTGCTGGCAGCGGTGCTCTGGAAGAGGCTCGGTTCTTTCCTGAAGGGGGCGGGGCTCGAGGGGCGAAAGAGTCACAGATCCAAGGGGCCCAAGAGTGGCAGAAAGACTTTGGTTCTCTCTTGCGTTTCAAAGCAAACATTTTGGAGGAGAACCACGTGAGAAAATCTGCCTGCTTTCCACGGTGCTGCTGCAGAGCAAAGTGAACACACGCTTCACCAAGGACCTCCAGACAGGACAGTTCACACCCCTCTTCTCAGCAAGTGGGCAAAAAGAAGGACAGGGTTCTGCCATTACTCTGGGGACAGATTTCTAAGAGGAAGAGAAAGAGCTGAGCTAGAAGGAGCTGAGCTAGGAAGCTAGCAGCAGGACTGGCAGGGCCTGGAGGGAGTGTGTTGCTGGGGACACGTGGACCTGATGAGGAGGTGCAAAGTGGGTGGCAGGGTCAGGATGGCAGGGAAAACCTTCAGGAACTTGCTGGGATCTGCCTGCCGGCAGTTGCTTCAGGTGGAAACAAGACCAATCATGACTTGATAAAGAGCCATGGCATCCAATGATAGGATACAGCTAGAAGGTTCTAGAAAATTCCACAGAAAATCTCCCCCACCCCATGCTCCATCACTCCTGCTGTAGGGATAGAACCCAAGCTCAGGCTTCCACACCGGAAACGGAGAAGCAGGGCAGGGTGGGAACTCCACGCCCACGGGTTCCACTCTCCATTCTGTCATTAACTGAGCAGGCAAGTCCCTCAGGCCCCAGAGGCTCTGCTCGCCTCCTCCTGACCACAGCTGGCTTTCATCTTACAGGGTTGCTGTGAAGCCGGAACCAAACAGCAGCAACAGTGTCAAAGGCACCCCGATCCCAAGTCTGTTCTGTGCTGGGCAACTGAGGCACCCCTGGCCATATGTGAGGCACCTTCCAGCGACCAAGGACAGCACTGAGTGAACTGAATCACATGATGACAAAGGCATTCCTGTGTCAACTGCCTTTTAATCCTTCTAATTACACTGAAGAAAAAGTATTGGTGTGAGTCTACTGTCTTTAACACTGTGAAGTAGAACACTGTCCGACCAGAATGGACGAAGGAGGTTTTGTTTTTATCAGATCTATTTTACGATCACCTTCTTTTTAATGCAAATGATATTGGTTTTTCATCTAAAGCAGGGTTTTTCAACCTCAGCACTGCTGACACTTCGGGCTGGATAACTCTGCTGTGGTTTACCCTGCCTAGTCTGGGACATTTAACAGCATCCCTGGCCTCTGCCTACAAGATGCCATTAGCACCCTCTCCCCGATGTGACAATGAAAAACATCTCCAGACATTGCCACATGTCCCCCGGGGGGCAAAATCGGGCCAGAGTGAGAACCACTGATTTAAAGTAGCCATACACATTTTTCCTTCAAAATAAATTTCAGTAGAAAGAGTACGTTGTTGGAAATTTTAAAACCCTGTAAATAATGTGCAGGTGATTTCTGCTAAGGGGGGCTGCGCGAAGGTGGTGTGTCAACGCGCATTGCGCTCCTACCGTAGAGGCCCCCCCACCCACACGGCCTGAGCGTGTGGCACTTTTACTATTATTGATTTTGTTGTTTTTGTTGCTGTGATTCTTAAGCACAGAAAAGCCAAGGCTGACATCCACCTGCCACAGGCCCCTTCCTAGAGGAAACGCCCTCCCCCGTGGGCACTCACCTTTGGGTTTTCAAGCCTGACCTCTTCTATCACGGCTATGTCGCCGCTGTGACTCTCCATGCAGTGGGAGCCCAAGGACACGCTGGGGTCTGAGGAGCTGCTGGTGTCCAGGAGGTTGTCCCCCCTGAAAGAGCTCTGACAGGCTCTCTCAGCAGCTCCCAGGGAGGAAGACGGATGCTTCTTCAATGGGTGAAGGCTGATGACTTTCCACCCCCCTGCAGTGGAGGACAGGCGTAGAACGGATGAACCGCGGTCACAGCAGGGGGAAAGCGAGAGGGGCACTTCTGCTCAGCTGCCGGACCAGAGCCGCACAGGCCAAAGGAGTCCATGTGGTCAGTTTAAGACGAGGGAAGTGGACCAGCAAGCAGCGAGCCGCACCCTCCTGACCCCGACCCCGACCCCCGATGTGCAAATCTGTCATCAGCACCAACCTCCACATGTTTTAAGAAAAGTCTTCCATAACTAAACTAAAACCCCAAGGGCTTTTACACAGATTGTTGGAGGGAAGGGGATAGAGGAAGTTTAGGGAATTCCATCCCTTTAATAGTCAAAACATAACAAACAAAACATTTGCCAAGGGGACTTCCCTGCTGGGGCAGTGGGTAAGACTCTGCGCTCCCAATTCAGGGGGCCCAGGTTCGATCCCTGGTCAGGGAACTAGATCCCACATGCATGCCACAACTAAGGGGCCCACGAGCCGCAACTAAAAGGAGCCCCAGCACAACCAAATAAAAGCAAAACAAACAAAACATCTGCCAAGGAGAAATGACTTGCCAGCAGCCTGGAGACAGACCACACAAGCATCTCCCAAGCTTACGATTATGTGATGCACGAGACACCAACAGGTCCCTAGTTAGGGCAGCACCAAGGCCATCCTCAGGTGTCTGCTGGGCTGAACGTCCCCAGAGCCAGGAGGGATAGGCAGTGGCTCAGACTGAGGGCGCGCACCCCCCTGCCCAACCCCCTACCCCCCGCCCCGAGCACGCCCCTACCCTTGGTCGAGGTGGAGTGGTGAGGCTGAGTCCTGAGACTGCCGTTCGAGAAGGACCTCGAGTCCCGCTGTGATCCTCTGCCTCTCCTCCTGCCGCCGCTGCCCTCCTCCTCGCTGTCTGACTCGGAGAGGAAAGCGTCCTCGCCCTCGGGCAGCAGGGACTCTTCCTGCACCGAGGCCAGGCTCACGGTGGTCAGCAGCTCGCTCCGTGCCTTCTCCCTCTCGTACTGCCGGCTCAGGTCGCTCTCCTCCGCAAACACGCAGGAGATGTACTTGGTGGTTCGCTGCCGTCCTTCGTCCTCCATGAAGCCCTGGAGGGGATGAGATGTGTCTAAGACACTGCAGAGGACGCCGGGACACCCAGCCGTTCGGGTGACCGGGCTTCTGCGGTGACTATTTCCTTGTCATTCCCACGTTCCCCCATGTCTCCTCCACACCTCACGCCTGGGCCCCAGCTCAGCCCCTCGTGGGTCCTCCCGTCTCGCCATCCCTCAGGTTCTGCTTCCACAGGAAGCAATCCTGACTGTGTGTCTGCTCTAGGAGACTGTGAGCTCCCCGCTGGGCAGGGCCCTAACCTGGCCTTCCGCAAACCCCCGGGGCCTGGCACAGGACGGGGCCTACGAGAGACGCTCAATGAGCAGAACTCGATGGCTCCTAACTGTCGTCACAGACTCGGAGTCGGGGCCTTGAGGTCACCAGCTCCATTCGGCCACTGCCGTGGGGCGTGGTGGTGAAGCTGTCACTCAGCCGCTCCCCTTTGTCTTCTACAACAGGGGAAAGGGACTTTCTGCCCTTAATGGCAGAAGGAGTGACACCTCCCAGGTACCAACCACACGCCAAGGACAGTGCTAAGTGCTGCACAGTCATTAGCTCAACTGTCACGCTGCTTTCCAGCGAAAGGGCCAAAAAGCTGGCAAGCAGGGAGCGAAGCACAACGGGCTGAGATAGCAGGTCTGGGTGCCGACTCGGTGCCCCCAGGACCCAGGCAAGGAACGTAAATGAGAAGGAGGGCCGGGCTGGGACTGAGGCCTGGGGGGTGCCCGCTTTGTCTCTGGGCGCCGTCGGAGGCGCCACCTCAGCTGACACCCCACGCGCGAGTGGGGGGCCTGCTCCCTGGGCTGGAGCATCTCCTGCTGACTTTTCAATGCTGATAACTCATTCAATTTTCAAAAAGCGAAACCCAACAAAATCCACGGTGGGGGAGGGGTGGGGCACACTTGTGGGCTGCGTTCAGCACTCCCGCCCTCCCTGGCAGCCAAGACGGAAGGCCGGCCTGGGCTCCCGATGTCCAAGACAGCCCTCAGAGCCACGCCGTGTGCACACGCGAAGACAACGAACTCACGCTGTTACCTTGACCACTTTGAATCTCTGAAGGAGGCGGCACAGCATTCTGGCTTCCAGCTTTCCCACGTTCATAGCCACTCGGATTTCAGCTTGGGAAATGCCTTTCGTGCCTCGACGCTCAACTGTGTGAAACAATACACTTGAACCCCAGCCTCCACCACGGAGCCTTTCTGCACAGGTCAGGTCCGTTCCCAGACATTTCAATGCGGGGAGACCGGCAAACAGAGTAAGACACCTGCCTCCTCCCACCCTCCCCCTCCCCCTCCCAAGGCTCTGACCACTCGACTCATTGCTCATTTTTAAGCGCTCGCTATCTGACTCTTCCACGCCAAAGCAATCAACGCCTGACCCACTGAGCTCCAGGGACGCTGCTTTATCCTGCAGCAGGACGTGTGCTTCCACATGAGCGAACTTTCTCAGTGAAATTCAGCTGAGCCTTTTAAGAAGCACCGAAGGAATGTTTAAGGAAGAACATCTTCCCGTCCTTCTCGGTAGACTCGGAGGCACTACGGACACCGATTATTGCCTTATCCCGTAACAGCTGCCGGCCAGCAGGGGCCGCAGAAGGAAATAATGCTATTTGGCCCCGTAATAAATGACCGATAGGCAACTGTGCTCTGTTACTTGCTCTGTCTGGTGTGTCAGCTCCTGCCCTGCTACACACTGTGCTATTACTGTATCTTCCTCCAATGAGTCCTTTCAAATGTTCTCGGACTACTCGGGGGTTGGGAACTCCAGGAAGGAGCCTGGTGGGGTGGCGGTGGGCGGGAGTCCCTCCAGTAAAATACTACAGGGCAGACTTCGGGGCAACACTCTTGGACCGTTCAGAAAGAGCTTCCCCTTTATTTCCTGATGTGGCATACACTTGAGGCCGCCAGGCAAAACCGATCTGGATAAAGGCAGTTTTGCTGTATTGTCCATGCACAAAAATAAACAGCAGAATGGAAAGAGGTGACTAGAATGTGTTCCTATGTTAAACTAGTAACATGCTAAAAGCGGGGACGAAAGGGTTAAGGACAGCATTTCTCAAACTGTGTTCTGAGGAACAGATCCTGAGAGATGTTGAAGAGTTGACGGAAACAGCCTTCCCTAAAGGCTGTGCTGATTCGCCAGGTGCTTTCGTACCTGCTGGCTGAACCAGATCTCCTGCAGCCCCTCCCCTTCTACTCTAGACATCCTCCGCTCCACAGCGACCTGCGGCCACACCATCTGTGGCACTGGGTCACTGCTGTCTTACATAGATTTTAGGGGATTTAGGGGAAGGGGGAGGAATGGACAGAGACATGTTTCTTCCCCCTTCATCACAACAATGCCCAGGCTGCAATGATTCCAGACCAGTTTTAGAAGTTGGTAGGTGACTCAAATCTTTGAGTAGTAATATTAGTAGGTAATTTTTTTAGTGGTTTCTACGTACCAGGCACTACACCAGATGTTTTAATCCTACTTATTCAGTCCTCTTACGTGCTAGGGGAGATATCCCCATTTTACAGATGAGGGAACTGAGGCTCGGAGACCTTGCTAAAGTCTTCAGCTGGCGGACAAGGGGCAGAGCAAGGACTCAAACTCAAATCTGACCCCAAAGCCTAAACCCTCAAGGGGACCAGGGGGCTTCCCGCTGCGTGACATTCTCGACAGCAGGGCCCTCTTTCAACATGTGACCAAAACACACCTCAAGTCAAAGCTCGGGAACCCTGTCTATATGCAGGTAGGAGAATGGGACTTACTGAGTTCGTAGGTCTGTGTGAGCATGTCCCGCTCGTACACGATGTCCACCGGTGGCACGGCCTTGGAGATGGCCTCCTCGTCCTCGTCGTCGTCCTGGTCTTCGACCTTCCGCTTGAACTCCTTCAGCAGCCTCAGGCAGCGCACCATGACGTCGGTCCCTGGGAACACAGGCACACGGTTCCATGATGACAAATCAGTGCGGCCCTGGGGGAGGCGGCTTCAGCAGACCCAGAGGCCCCGAGAAAGGCCGCACAGGGCATCTGAGTTTGGAACATTCAACACTGCACACCTTGGGGCACGAGACCTGAATACTGACTCCATAAAACTGCTTTAAAAACAAAAAACATATTATTAGTGAACAAAGAAATGCAAATGAAAGGAATAATGAGGGGCCTGTTAAATAAACAGCAGCCTCTGCTTCAGACAAGCTCCATGACTACAGGAAACGTGCTTGTCTTTTCCCATCACCGCCCCCCGCTCCCCTGAATAGTGCTTGGCACACAGCAGGCACACGGGCGGTATTGCTGAAAGGATGAATACAGTCTTCTCCCTTTTAAGCCAATGCCCGTTGCCACTAAGGTATGGCAGCAGTGTGAACAAGTTCTATGACCTTTCCAGAGCATTTCGAGAGGTCTTTAACTCCATGATTCCAAGGGTAGGAATTTACCCCAAGAAATAACTGAAAAGGAGGCAAAATGCCACTAGTAAGAGGTCCACCCAGAGCTCTTTATAGACCCAGCTTCTGTGAATATAAACAACGACCAGGACTAAGGGGCAGGACACGGACAAGGCACCACACTCTGCAGGCGAGCGCCCGCCTTCAGACAATCAGGCTCCGGTACTCTCAACCTACGGAAGCGCCGTGTGGGGAAAATAACAAGCTCACGCCTATGGCTGTAACGCGAGAGGTACAAGGAAAAGGAAAAACATCTCGACACTACGACTGCTAACTCCTTTGATCCTGACAACCCTAGGAGGCAAACAGATGAAGAGACTGAGGTACAGACGCGTTAACTAACTTGCCCAAACTCCCAGCAGCCTGTGACAGGGGCTAAGTGACTCAGGCAGGTGCCAGGTCTCTGATACGGAAGAGATGGTGTCCTGTGATACTGACAGCCGGGAGGCAGAACAGCAGCCCCTCAAGCATGTCCACGCTTTCACCCCTGGAACCTCTGAATATGTTACCTGACGTGGCGAAAGGGACTTGCAGGCATGATTTAAGTTAAGGCTTTTTGTCGTGGTGCTGGTGGTCAAGGATTTTGAGATTATCCTGAAATATCTGGCTGGGACCAGTATAACATCACAGAGTCCTTGTAAGAGGGAGGCAGGAGAATCAGAGTGAGAGATTGGAAGACGCTTCGCTGCTGGCTTTGAAGATGGAAGGGACCACGAGTCAAGGAATGCAAGCAGAGTCTAGAAACTGGAAAAGGCCAGGAAATGGATCCTCTCCTAGAGCCTCCAGAAGGAGCAGAGCCTGCCGAAACCTCGATTTTAGTCCAATGACAGACTTCCAACCTTCAGAATGAGAAAATAACGAGTTTGTGTTAAGTCACTGTATTTGTAGTAATCGTTACAGCAGGGCAATCAGCCGTTTCTCCACCAGCGTCCATCAGCACACCAAGGTGTAGCATCCTCGGGTACCAGGGCAAGGAGCAGTGGCAGTAAAGCTGGTCTCTGCAACCCAGTGCCTCCTAAGCAGGAGCTGCGCCACCGAGGGCCTCGCTGTGAAGGTGCGTGGAGCACCCACATCAGGGTAGCACAGACTGACGTCTGAGCAGATCAAGTCCCATCACCCCAACTCGGGCAGGGGATTCTCTGTAGGTGGGGGACACAGCACGTGGTTTGCAAGTGAAGTTCACAAACAGTAAAGCATCTCAGGGGCCTGATATCAGAGACTTGACCCTCAGAGTCAGGTCCGCAGAGGCTGACCAACCAGAACCCTCCGGGAGGGCTGGCCTGGGGCCAAAGGTCCGCAGGGCTCGGGCACCAGCTGATTCCCCTCCACTCCCGCCAGTGAGAGAAAATCCCCCAGTTCTCGACTTTTCATGAGAAGAAACATGAAGCCCGCGTCTGGCACAGCCTCTTTGCCCTTGGCTCCCTCTGCGCCTGCCAGGTCCTCCCTTCCTACTTCCAAAGCTTTGCGCTTCGCTCCCGGTGCCTGCCCCGGCCTCTCCCTCCCAAGAGGGAAGACCTGGGAACGAGGGGACTCCTGGGCCATCTGAATGGGTGAGAAATATTTCAAGGCTCCGGGGCCCGGGACTGGGTTCTCCCTGTGGCCAGCACCCCCAGCACGTGGGCAGAACACTAGCCGCCAAGCCGCTCGCCACCTGGTCTTCCTCTGTGTCCTCTACCTTAAGCTACTCCCAAGCCCCTCAGCCCCCCTCTCACCCCTAAGCTGGTACTCACAGAGCGACCTCCTCTCCTAACAATAAAACCACCACCACTCCTAGGACGCCTGCCAGGTCCCTGACGCTGATCTAAGCTCTCCTGGCGGGTTATATGGGTTAGCCCTCATCACAGCCGTAGGAGGTGGGCTACCATCCCCGTTTCATACCTGAGAACGTGTGGAGCGAAGGGATCTGCCCAAACTCCCATCCCTTAGCAAGTGAGGAGCTGGGATTTACTGGGCAGTCCAGCCTCGAAGCCCAAGCCCTAAACCTTTGATGACGTATGGCCCCTAATTCAAAGATGCCCATGTGACCGAGAACAGCGGGTGACCCGGGGCAAGGGCCAGCCCGCGTGAGGGGCGACACAACACAGCATTTATGGAGGCCGACGGACTGGCTCTCAGGCAAGAGCCCAATGTGATTCTTTCCCACACTTTTATAACTTCCTTAACGGGCTAATTAGCCAAGAAAAGATACACAGAACAGCCCTCAAAATAAGCTAAGTGGAAGAGGAAAAACGTTACTAGTACACTCATGGACGCTAAGGCAACAAAGGCAAACGCCCTCAGCCATCAGCCTTCTGCTCCTCATGCCCAGGCAGTGCTGTTCTCACCTGTCCCTGGTCAGAGCCTTCTCCTGATGGCACAGCTGAACCCTCTGCTGGCAGCCAGGACGGAAGGATGCTCAGAGGAGAGTGGGGATAAACGGGCTCCCGGGTCAGGCACATGTGGCTTTCAACCTCAGCTCCGTAACTCTGGGGCAATGACTTGTAGCTCTCTGTTCCCCACTCAGTGAAATGCGATGATGATGTTCTCTCCCTCACGGGTTAGTGTCAGCGAGACCCGAGATTGACGTCTGTACAGAGGGTGGCGTGGAGTCATGGGCCAGGCACTGTGTTGTGAGCGTTACATAAATTAACCCGTCAAATCTCATGATCGGAGGCGGGCAGGCCCCTGTAAGCTGCACTGTACAGACGCAGAAGCTGAGGCACAGAAAAGTTAAGTGACTTGCTCAAAGCAATGGAGCTGTGAAGTGGCGGAGCTAGGGTGTGACCCAGGCTGACTCTCAACTAACATAGCAGTTGCTCTTAATGGCATCACCGGCACCTAGCACTGTGCAAAGGCATGACAAACAGGAGCTGAACTCAAGATGGTTGGTCCCTTCCTGCCAGGTAGGAAAGCCCCACAACTGGCCCACGGTCGGGGTGACCTGGCTCCTGGGTCCCACGGGAACTCTCCCCTGCTCTGGTTCTGAGCATGGGGCTCAGGAAAGCGCCTAGGCAGGCAGGCCGCTGGCTGCGGGAGGCGGAGGGTGACGCAGGAAGACCAGGCTGCTCCCTGCGACTACACTGGGAACCGTGAGCTCCACGACCAACAAGGAGCATGCGACCCAGTGGGGGGAGGGCGAGTCTCAACACATCGCAAGGGGTGAGCTCCAGCATCTAAGGCTGGGCTGAGAAGGAGGCTGCTATGACATATCTAGATGGCGCCTGGAGAGGCTTGCGGCCACAGGGTCTGCAGCTCTGCCTGTCCTTGGGCACAGCTGATTTCTCTGCCCTGAATCCCAACTGCACTTGTTTCTGTATCCGTCAGAGAGGTAAGCCCTGGTCATTCACCCAACACCCTGATGGCGGCAACGTCTCCCTTTCCTCAGGCCATGTCATTTACATCTTTCCTTTGGAAAACCTTGCGTGAGAGCGAGCGAGCCTGTGCAGTGGTTAAGAAGATGGACTCTTCTGCCCGAGCTGGTGTGGGAACCTGGGCAAGCTGCTCGATCTCCCTCCGCCTCCACCGACTCGCCCGCAAACCAGGGCTGATGAGAATGTCAGCCTCGTGGGGCTGGGGGAGAGACGCAGGAGGAAAAGCAGGTACAGGATGGGGCACGGTGCAGTCTGAGCTTCATGATCCAAGGGACCACCTGGAACTCGTTTCACCAGATCTTTATGCATTTCCCATAGTTCTAGAGTTTTTTCCAGACTCAGAATTTCTATTTTTATTAAAATCCCTTCAGCTCATACTTGCCTTTTTTTTTTTTTGGCTGTGCTACGCAGCTTGCAGGATCTTAGTTCCCCAACCAGGGATCAAACCCGGGCCCCCTGCAGTGGGAACGGGGAGTCTTAACCACTGGACCACCAGGTAATTAAGTCCCTCATACTTGCTATTTTTAAGGATATTGTCCTAGAGCACAAGGCAGCTGAAGTCAAAGCAGAAGGGGCTCGAGTGAGACTGGTCGGCAGACTCACGCAGGTGAACGTGGCCTGTCACTCCATTTGAGCTGCCACCTCGGTTACCTGCAACCGCCCTGGAGGAATCGCGGTCCCGTTGATGTCGGCCACTGACCCCTGGGTGCAGGGCTTTCTTTCCAGGAACAAAAGGGAGGAGAAATACAACCGGCCAGATCACTCTCATGCTCTCAAACACACAAAATTTTAGGCATTTTACACACGCAGAAACATGTGGCATGCACTAAGGTCAGCATTTCTACACCAAGGAACCACGCGGTTCTTCTGTGTCAATGATCCAGGAAAGGCTCCACCTTAGCACGAAACGTGCCTTAATTTAGACATCCTGAAGATCTAAAAAGGAAGAAGGGAAGGACAGAATCTTTACTGAGTACCTGGGATGGGCCAGGCGCTGTGTTAGGTCCTTTCAGAGGCTATTTTACTTAATCATCGTGTGAATTCTGCAAGTTATTATCACCATTTTAAGGAAAAGGAAACGGAAGCTCAGAGAGCTCAAGTGATCTAAGTGGCCTTCCTTCCACACTAGGCC